CCTAACGGGTACAGTGCACATTATTATCTGGGTGATGGGCACACTTCTAACTTTGACTCAAACTGTACAAAAGCAATTTATGTAACCAAAATGTACCCCCATAATATTCTGAAATTTTTTTTAAAAGTGGGGTGCAGAGAGCAGACTGGTAGCTGCCAGGGGCTGAGGGACACCTCCTTCAAGTGGGGAGTGACTGCTGATCGCTATAAGGTGTCTTTGGGGGGTGATGAGAATGTTCTGGAACTGGACAGGGTGACAGCTGCCTAACCCTGGGAATGTACAAAAAAATCATTGAATCCACACTGTAACTCAGTGAATTGTATGGTATGTGAATTATACCTCAATAAAGCTGTTTTTTAGAAAAAGAAAAGGAAGTGACCCACAGGGATAGCACCCAGAAGGCCATAGGGGATATGGACAGAAACAGTCTTGGAACTGGGGGGAGGAAATCCCAGGAGCAGATGGGTTTGAGGATCGAGAAGCATCTAGGAAAATCCTGCAGTTGCTGTGAGGGAGGGAGAGAGGCTGATGAGGCTGGTGGAAGAGAAGAGTGGAGAGGGAACGTTTCTGTCCTTGGCCAAAATGTCCTTCAGAAGACGAAGGTGGACATCCTTGGCCTCGGAGAGAGAGGGGCTGTCCACTGCCGCAGCTGGCCAATGCACAGCTGGATGTCCTCGCCTGGCCACTCCTGATCTCTTAGGGACATAGAGGCTAGAGCATGGGTGCAGAGGATTATGATGGGGACAGTTGATAGCCAAGAACTCTTGTGGGAGTTGATGGAGTACAGTAGTGTGATCATAGCTCACTGTAGCCTCGAACTCCTGGACTCAAGGGATCCTCCCACCTTGGCTTCCCAAGTAGCTGGGACTATAGGTGTGAGCCACTGTGCCCAGCCATGGGCCACTGTTCTTTAGACACTGCAAGTGTGGCAGAGGCAGAAGTGGGATTTACAACGTGCTGGGGTATCATGGGGCAGGTCAGCAAAGCCAGAGAGAGGCGAGGGTCCCTGGATGGAGGGCCAGTCCTGGCAGCCCCTGAGAGGGAAATGGGGGCTTTGGACCGAGGTGCCACATCACAACAAAGACATGGGGGCCACCTGAGGAGGCTCGGTTGGGTCAATTTCTAGAAATGTTCCTGTGCTTAAAAAGAATGTATGGGCCGGGCGCTGTGGCTCACACCTGTAATCCCAGCACTCCGGGAGGCCGAGGCGAGAGGATCGCTTGAGCCCAGGAGTTCAAGACCAGCCTGAGCAAGAGCGAGACCTCGTCTCTATTAAAAATAGAAAGAAATTGGCTGGACAACTAAAAATATATAGAAAAAATTAGCCGGGCATGGTGGCACACGCCTGTAGTCCCAGCTACTCGGGAGACTGAGGCAGGAGGATCGCTTGAGCCCAGGAGTTTGAGGTTGCTGTGAGCTAGGCTGATGGCACGGCACTCTAGCCCAGGCAAGAGTGAGACTCTGTCTCAAAAAAAAAAAAAAAAAAAAAAAATTACAACTGAACTTCTCTTCCTGTCCATTTGCTTGAACCTTTCTGTGAGCTGAAGTTTTGGTCTTTTAACCAGTATAGAGGTGGATTTTTTTTTTTCCAAAGCAATCTCATAACTGTCATGATTATTCCATGTATGTTTATTTTGATGCCTAATATTTGCGATTCTTGCTACACTTTTACTTTGCATTATTTATCTTGCTTTTTCTAACTTTTTCCTCCTTTCTTGTCCTTTAAGTTGTTGTATCTGTTTTTGTCCCATTCTCCCCTCTATACCTGAAAACTTTTTACATATATCCTTCATTCCCACCCTCTTGAAGAATACAAAGCCCCCGATCCTGTTCTGATAATGTTTGATATTTCTAATTTTTTTTAAATCTCTCAAATTAGGCACTGAAGAATTTTTACCCAAATATATGCCCATGCTTTTGCTTACCTACCTTTTGGATAGTTCTCCTATTTTCTTAAATCTATTCCATAGAGAAGATCAGCTGGTGGGAAACTTTTTTAGTTTTTGACAGTGTGGGTGTCGTTTCTCCTGAGTAATTGTTTTTAAAATTGTGTGTAAAATTCCAGGTCAACTGTTACTTTCTTTCAGCACTTGAGGTGGTATTTTATTCCATTATCTTCCAGCTATCCTGGCTGCTATTAGTTGGCATTGTTTTGTGGGTCAACTATTTTTTTTCCTGTGGCTGTTTTGTATTTTCACTATGATGTATTTGGAAAATGAATGCCTTCTTATTTAACCTGTTGGTTATTTTTGTCTTGTTACTTCCGAAAATTTCTCAGCATTACATCTTTTTGTGTTGTTCCTCCCTGCCTGTCTGCTGTTAGAATTCAGCCAAACTAGATATTTCTTATAATGCTAGCTTTCATATTTTCCATGTATTTATGCTGCATTCTGGGTAATTTCTTCACAGCTTACAATTTGCTGATTCTCTCTTCAGCTATATCTAATTGGTTTAGCTTCAACATCTGTAGTAAGTTGAATGGTGCCCCCCAAAAAGATACGTCCATGATCTAATCTCTAGAACTTTATTTGGAAAAAGAGTCTGTGCAGATGTAGTTAAATGAAGAATTTCAGGATGAGATCATCGTTTTGGGAGGGCCCTAAATGCCATGACAAGTGTCCTTATTAATAGAGAAGACAGAGAGAAGAACAAGAGAGAAAAGGAGAAGGCCATGTGAAGATGGAAGACAGAGATTGGAGTGATGTGGCCACAAAAGCAAGGAACACTTGGAGCCACCAGAAGCTACAAGAGGCAAGAGGGGTCCTCCTTCTGAGTCTTCACGGGGAGTGCAGCCCTGTGACCTTGATTTAGAACTTCTGTCCTCCAGAAATATGAGGAAGTAAGTTTCTGTGGTTTTAAGCCATTGAGTTTGTGGTACTTTGTTACAGCAACCCTAGGAAAGTGATATAACATCCAATGCCATTTTGATGGCCTCTCACGCCTTTTTTTTAAATAAGCTTTTTATTTTAGAATAATTTTAAGTTTGTGGAAATGTTGCAAAGATGGTACAGAGAGCTCCCGGGTACCCTTCATCCAGCTTCCCTAACATTACATAAGACGTCTCTACAACAGTACGGTTGTCACAAGAGACCAACACTGGGGTATTGCTATTAACAAAACCCTACATGTTATTTGGATTTCACCAGATTGTCCACAGATGTCCTTTTGTTGGTCCAGGAGCCCATGTCACATGTAGTTGTCACATTTCCTTAGTCTCCTCTGACCTGGGATTGTTCCTCAGTCTTTCCTTGCTTTCCACGATCTTGACAGTTCTGAGGCTCTTTTGGAAGATGTCTTGTAGCCTGAACCCCTGGACCCTACCCTGTTTTATACCTACCTGTACTAACCCTCGCTGTCCTTGGAGAATCCACTTCTGCTGGTGGTGCCCAGGGGGCGATCATGGCAAGGCATTCCCTGGTGTGCTCTGTCACTTCTGTGTACAGCCCATGCTTTGTCGTCCTAGTGGAAGCGCTCTCATGTGAGCCTGGGGGTGCCAGCCCTCACCCCATGTTCTGGCTGGACATCCTCAGAGGAGACAGAGCCAGGCACTGGTGGGGCCAGGAGGTCTGGCTTGCCCTTGCCTTGGGCTCTGCATTTACAAGGATGTCTCCAACATGAGTTCACTGTTCCATAGCAAAAGGATCTTGCAGATGTTTAGATTTGGCCAAACAGGTGACCCCATTCTCTTTAGCCACTGCTGCCTCTGGAAGACTCCTTGGTGAGACCTTGCTGATCTCCATGTACAATTCCTGACTCACACTCAAGGCACAGCTACAATCCAACACTCTCAAAGAAGGCTCCCAACAGCCCCCATCTGCCAGCACACATGGCCCTGCCCTGATCCCATCTCAGGCAACAGCAGCTTGAACCAAAAGTCCTGAATTGTGTTTCTTTTTTTTTTTCCTTTTTCCCTTTTTTTTCCCCCCTAGGCTAGTCAAGTGAAGCAGTGGGAGTGGAGAAGGAACAAAGTCTCTGATTCTTTTATTTTTGTTTTACCTACACCCAAAGCAAGTCTGTGGTTCTCCCTTCCAGAGCTGGGATCTGATCACATTGGTCCTCCTGGCTACAGCCGGGGTTTGTTAAATCTCTGCATCTCCTCCTGTTCCGACTCACTTCATTGAGCTCTGAGCCCACTGCCTCCCTGAAACCGTCATACCAGGTCACCAATGGCCTCACTGGCCAAAATCAGAGGGCCTGGCTAGTCAGTACCTTCTGGGACCTTCTACAGCCTCCTGCTCAAACACTCCTCATGTTGACTCTGGGGTGCTGCACACCCCAGACCCCGCTTGTCACCCAAACCTGCCCCATTAATTGCTGGGTTGGGCGCCGCCCCCCACCCCTTGCCCCAGGCTTTGGACACCATCTGGCTCTCACCCCAGGGTTGCTGCAGGGCCCAACGGTGCAACCAGCAGGAGGCTCACTGAGGCCCCTTTATTTCTCCAGCCCCAGGACTCCCTCCTGAGCTAGGCTGGCTCTGAGCACCCAGCCCCACCTCCTACCTGGCTGGCCACCGGGCTCCCTGTCAGACCCGAGGCCAGCACGTCTCAGCACGGACACAGCCTGGGCTCTCTCTGCAGCCCTTGGCACTCCCTCCTCCCACCTCCACTGCCACCCACTCCAGTGGGGACATGGGTCAGAGGTCATTGTCTGGCCTGGCCAACGGCTACTCCTCAGGAGCCATGGATCACTGACTTGTGCACTCTGGCCACGCGGGCCACTGGGCCTGGCCTTCACTGCCCCTGCCCCCAAGACCCTGCCTCTGGTCCCTCGCTGCTCTGCCCCCTCCCCAGGCCCCTCCCTCCCCTTCCTCGCTGTTCTCTCCTTCACAGCAGTTCACTCTGTGGCTATGTCCCCCACCCCTTTATCGAAGTCTCTGTTTCAGAGTAGGCTCGGGCAGCATCCGCGTCGGCCTCATCCGCTACCGGTCTTGGGGGCCTGGCCACAGAGTGCACTCGGACGGATGTTGCTAAAGGAACGAACGTGGGGCAGAGGCCCCTCCACACTCACTCAGCCTTGCTGGGCTTGGGGTCCTGAGCCTCGGCCGCGTCGTACTCCCGCAGGTCTTTCAGCTCGCGCACCTGGCCCGTGAGCACCTTGGCGGCGAACGCCACGATGTACTGTGGGAGGGGAAGGTCCGGCTGAGAGGGAAGCCCCTTCCGCGCCCTCCTGACAGCGGGGTGGGCGCTCCCGCCACAGGCCCTTTGCGCATGGTGTCCCCCCCGCCCCGGGCCTGCCTGAGAAGGACCTGTGGCTGCACTGCTACCTGGGGACAAGCACAGCGATGGGGCGTTCACAGGACTGCTGACCGAGCAGGGGCCAGCTGACTCACCAGGAACCAGTAGAGGTTCATGAGGGTGAGCAGCAGCAGCAGCGCATTGAAGAAGAAGTAGAAGGGGATGTCAGGCACGGAGCGCAGGCTGCAGTGGACCGTGGCGTACAGGACCTTGAGAGGGAACCAATAGAGGCGGAACCAGAACCTGCAGAGGCAGGGCCAGGTCGGGAGGCGGTGGAGGGAGGGGGACGGTGGCCCCACCTAGTTCCTGTCCCGTCCCACCCTGGACCCACTCACTTGTATTAATGACTGCACATCCCCGCTCACCTCTGTCCCCTTGTCCCATCCTGGCTTATGCAGACCCATCTGGCTCCCCTTCTGCGCTCTCCTGCCGGGCCCAGCCCTGCCTCTTCCCCACTCAGACCCTCCCCTGCTCTGCCTGGCCCCACCCACCCCATTACCTTCCCTGCCTGGCCCCACCCCTTCTAAGCCTAGCCCCTCCCCTTCAGGGCCCCATCCACCTCACCAGGCCCCACCCACACTAGGCCCCTCCCCTTCCCTGTCGGGCCCCACCCACCTCAAGGCCCCACCTCTTTCCCTGACGGGCCCCACCTACCTTACAAAGGCCCCAGCTCCTTTTCCTCTGGGCCCCACCCCTTCTAAGCTTAGCCCCTCCCCTTCAGGGCCCCATCCACCTCACCAGGCCCCACCTCTTCCCAGTCTAGTCCTTCTCCTCCTGGGCCCCACCCACACCACTAGGCCACTCCCCTTCCCCCGGCCACGCACCAGCTGAAGCAGAAGCCGAGGCAGCCCAGGTCGGCCGCCAGGGCGTGCAGCCGGTGGTAGGAGCCGCCGCGGGATTTGAAGTAGACGTTGAGCTTGGTGAACTCGAGCAGCACGTCGCTGATATCATGCAGGAAGACCACAAGGATGCCCACGTTGTGGTACCTGAGGGGGCAGGATGGGGAGAGAGAGGGCTACTCACACTCAGGACCCCCACTCTGCACAGGCCCCCAGCACAGGCCCCCTGGGCCGCACCTCCAGACTCCCTGTGGGCCCCTCCCTGGCTCACCTGCCCTGCCCACCTCCCTCCCCAGGAGTCCCTCCCCTCACCATCCCACCACAGCCTCGTCCTCCCTGCTTCACTGTCCCCACGTGGGCCAGGAGCCTTCCCAGAAGTTCCTTCTTCGAACTTCCTCATCTCTGTGACCTCTGACCCTCTGTGACCCCAGACTCTCACAGGCTTGGGCCATTCTGCGTTCAGATGCCCCATGAGCTCATTCCTCACTTTGGACACTCCCAGGTGTGCACGTGCAGCCTGAACATCGCTGCAAGCTGCAGACTTGCCTAGGAACGGCCTCGGCCACATCCCCACTAGGGTCTTAAGAAGCCTGAAGGCGTCCCCATCCCTCCCCAGAGTCTCCACCGGACAGTTGCTCGGGTGAAGGGGCCTAGATTCAGCCTGGATGTGGCCAAGTGCCTCCCTCCCTCTTGCCAGGTCCCTGTCCCCACTCTGCCCTCCTGACTCCTCCTGGACTCCTGCCACAGGCCCTTTGTACGTGCCCCTCCCTGGGCTCTCAGCACCTCCCTTCACTTCTTTCAGTCTTCTCTCACTGTCACCCCAGACCACCCACCTAGACCTAATACCCTGCAGGCCTGTCCTCTGACTTGATTTTTCTCCATAGTTTTTATCACCTTCCCTCTAGAGAGTGCTGATAGAACTTTCTAGAACCATGAGAATATTCTAAACTTCTGTCATCCAATATAGGAGCCACTTGTCACATGTGGCCACTAAACACTTGAATGTGGCCCATGTGGCTGAGGAATGGAAATGTGTGCTTTTATTTAAGTTTAAAGTTGAAACAGCCACCTGCGGCTGGTGGCTACCATATTAGTGCAGCTAGAGCTGCTGGTCCCGTAGGAATTGAATGTGAGCGGCATATGTCATTTTAAAGTTTCTATCAGCCACACTTTTTTTTAAAAAAGGCAAAAAGGAACAGGTAAGACTTTTTTTTTTTTTTTTTTTTGAGACAGAGTCTCACTTTGTTGCCCGGGCTAGAGTGAGTGCCGTGGCGTCAGCCTAGCTCACAGCAACCTCAGACTCCTGGGCTCAAGCGATCCTCTTGCCTCAGCCTCCCGAGTAGCTGGGACTACAGGCATGCGCCACCATGCCTGCCTAATTTTTTTTCTCTATATATATTTTTTTAGTTGTCCAGATCATTTATTTCTATTTTTTAGTAGAGACGGGGTCTCGCTCTTGCTCAGGCTGGTCTCGAACTCCTGACCTTGAGCGATCCGCCCGCCTTGGCCTCCCAGAGTGCTAGGATTACAGGCGTGAGCCACCGCGCCCGGCCACAGGTAAGACTTTTTAAATAGCACATCCTAATGAACTCAGAATATCTGAAATATTGCCATTTCAATATGTAATTGAGATAACAAAAGGACCAACAGGGTGTATTTTCAGTCTGGTCTGTGTATGAAGCCTTTGAATCGGGTGGATTTTACACACACGGCACCCTGAGGCTCGGATGGGCCTGTGGGAAACGCTCGGTGGTGGCCGCAGTGGGCTCTCAACATCTGGGTGGCTCTGCTGTGTTCGCAGCTGGCCCTGGCACCTGTGCAGAGCAGGTGCGCAGTCCGCCTTCACCGCGTGGCCCTGTCAAGGGCGAAGGCCAAGGGGGACGGGAGTGCGGGATGCGGCAGTGGCTCTCTGGGCCTTTTTACCCTGTCCCTCCAGAGCCTCTCTCTGGAATCTCTGGCCCCGCAGCCCTCCTGCAGCCCTCCTCTGAGCCCCGCCCACTGCTCCTGTCCTCACCGGAAGGCGTAGGAAGAGATGATGAGGGCCAGGGTGACCACGTGGTGGACGAGCATGACCACTGAGTCCTTGCGCCAGGTGTCCATGTACAGCGTGGCGTAGAGGGAGTGGCCGTAGAAGCTTCCCTGCAGCAGGTAGGTGGCTGCGATGTCCCGTGGCACCGCCACGCCTGGTGTCCAGTCTGGGGGGAGCCGAACCTCACCATAAGGGACCTGCGGGGCCTTCAGACACCCCCCGAGTGACCCCACGACAACCTCCCAGCTGTGTGTGCGTCCTCCCCGTACCAGGGTCACCATGCATCTGTGATCCTGGGTTTTCCATCCCCAGTTCTCTGCCTGTTATATTTTACTAATGGGTGTTTTTTTCGAAGAACAGTTTTGGGTTTCTAGAAAAATTGAACAGAGGACAGAGAGTTCCTATATCCCGCTCCCTCGCAACACACCCACGGGTGAGCAACACCTTGCCTCAGTGGGGCACGTTTGTTGCAAACGATGAACCAATAGAGACACGTTACCATTAAATAATTCCCAGCTGTCTTTCCTCACCTGGAGGCGCTCCTACCCTGGAGTCTGTCACCTGCAGATTGCCATCTCTGCCCCGGCCCCCTTCCTGCCTCCTCCTACCAGGCCCCTGTCTTGCCAGTGTCCCGGGCCCCCCTCCCTACAAATCCCCAGCCCGACAGAGGATGTTGCCTGCCTAGCTTCAACATGTGACATGCCGGGCGCCATGCCGCCGAGTGTGGGGTCTCCCACCAGTGGGCCCTGCCTCCCTTCCCCTCCTGATCCCCACCTCCTCCCCCACCCCCTTCTCGGCCACGTCACCAGGAACCGGCAGACACCAAGGCCAAGGGCCATGCTCTGCTCTGCTCAGCTCACACCACCCTGGAACTCTCTGGGCTGTTCGCTCTCTGGTCACTCCTTTTCCGCCCACCCCCTCCCAAAACAGAACCTCCTGGCTCCATCTGGGGCCTCTTGCTCCCCCGTGGGGGATAACCCGCACCTGGAGCCCAGCTGTCCCTGGTCGCCCACACGCCCCCACCTCAGCAACAGCCTTCATCTACGCCTGGACCTTCTGCAGCCGAGACCCACCTGGACCCCACCTAAGGGCCCCTTTTCTGTCCATGCCTCCGCTCGCCCCTCCAGCCCTGCCGCCCCTGCCCGGGTCCAGGCACTGCCGTCTCCCGCCCACACCGCCCCAGCACTGCCTGCCACCCGCGCCCGTCTGCCCCATCCTCACACAGCCCTGATGGCCGTGAACACACAAACCATCCCACGAGACCCAGCAGGTCCACTCCAGGCGCGCATCTGAGGGAACGGAAAAGGGGACGCAAGCAGATACGAGTACGCCTGTGTCCACGGCAGCACGACGGCCAGCGGGCAGAGAGGACCCGGATGCCCATCAGCGAATGAATGACAGAGTGATGTGTCCACGCAGCAGAATATTATCTGGCCAGAAAAGGGAACGGAGCTCTGACACCGGCTCGGCGCTGAGCGAGACGGACGCGGGAGGCCGCGTGGCACGTGAGCGCACTGTCGTGCTGTGTCCAGAAGGGGCCGAGCCACAGAGACGGGAAGCAGACTGGCGGCTGCCAGGCGCTGGGGGAGGGGCAGTGGCTGCTGATGGGGACGGGGTCTCCTCTTGCAGTGATGACAATGTCGTGGAACTAGACGGAGGTGATGGTTGTGCAACACTGTGAATGTACTAAATGCTGAACTGTCTGCTTTAAAATGGTTAAATTTTTTAGATTGTGGTAAGATAGATACAGCACAAAAGTTACCACCTGAGCCACCTGTAAGTGCACAGGGGTGGCACGGAGCACATTCGCGTCACTGTGCAGTCATCACCACCATCCATCTCCGGAACTTTCTTAATCTTCCCAAACTGAAACCCGGTCGCCACGAAACACTAACTCCCCTGCCCTCTTCCGGGGGCGCCCCTGGCACCCACCATTCCATTTTACGTCTCTAGGAATGGGACAACTCTAGGGACCTCGTGTAAGTGGAATCACGCATACAGCATTTTTCTTTTGTGACTGGCTAAAGTGGTTAATTTTATGTTATGTCAACTTTAGCTCAAGAAAAAAATGCCAAACACCCCACAAATCCGATCTCTGCCTCTGCACCCCCACTTACACCATCCAGAGGTTCCCGAAGACTCAACAGCAAAACCCACACTCCCGGCTGGGCCCACGACCTGCGCTCCGTCCTCAGCCGCTGAGAATGCTGCGATCCTGAAGGTTCCGAGCTCTTACACCCCACCACACACACCTGGCAGGTGGCTTCGTCCCCCTTCAGCCCTCAGCTTGCAGCTGTGCCCACGGGCACCCCGGTGTCACCATCCCCACTGGACCCCAACCCCCCTGGGCTCCCACCTGCGTGCAGGACGCCCCGCTCCAGGCAGCACCCACGAAGCCCCGGGGAGGGCTGCATCCTGAAGACCCACTACCCATCCACGGTGGGGGCTCCAGAGAAGAAAGAGGAGGACCAGGTGTGGACCGTCCCTGCAGAAAACCATCAGGGGCTGTCGCCCGGTATCCCCAAGGGAAAACACACGCAGAGGCCCAGAAGCTCCGTGCCTGCTGCCAGCTCTGTGTCCTATTACCGCGGCTGGGCTTCCTTGGCCAGCCTCGATCTGGGGCAGAACCGGAGTTGGGGGGCATGCAACGTACCTTCCAGACGGTGCTGCTTCTCAGCATGGGAGTCAACACCAGGGTTTGGTGACACCCCCGGGGCATCCAGGACCAAGGCCACCTCACCCGATCATGACTCCTCTCCTAGGCCACTGAGGCATGAGACCACTGTCCAGCACCCCACCCTATCCTTGGCACGACAGGCCCTTGGATTTGAGGTGACTGCCCCTAGCCTAAAAACCTGCCTCCCTGGATCCCACAGCCCCCTCTGGCCACCTCCCTATTCATTCATTTATTTTTTTGAGACAGGGTTTCCTTCTGTCGCCCAGGCTAAAGTGCAGTGGCATCATCCTAGCTCACTGCAGCCTCGAACTCCTGGGCTCAAGCGATCCTCCTGCCTCAGCCTCCTGAGTAGCTGGGACTACAGGTGTGCACAACCATGACCGGCTAATTTTTCTATTTTTAGTAGAGATGGAGTCTCACTCATGCTCAGGCTGGTATCGAACTCCTGGCCTCAAGCGATCCTCCTGCATTGGCCTCCCAAAGTACTAGGATTATAGGCGTGAACCACTGCGCCTGGCCCTTCTGGAAACTTCTGAGCCCCGGCTTTTGTTCAGGGCCACCAGAGTCAGCACAGCCTCCTGACTCGCTCCCTGGCCTTACCTTTCCAGCCGGCTGCCCCCTGCCCCCCTCCTTTCTCTGCACCCCCTCCCCACGACACATGACAAACGGGTGCGTCCAGGTTTAGTCCAGGGGTCTCCCGTTCCTCGCTGGGAACTCTTCAGACAGTTGCAGGATGTTCAAGCTGGGAGCCGGACCGGACCCTCTTCACTGAGGCTGCTGCTGCGGTTGCTCTGCCTGGGCTCTCCCCGCAGAGGCAGCTGCAGCAGCTGGATAAGGCTGCTGTTGGTTCCCGGGCTGTGGGTGTTTGCTCAAAGCAGGTACAAATGTCCCGGCAGCTGGAGGCTGGGGGGGGGGTCCTGGTGGGGCACTGGACTTTGGAGCAGCTCTCCCAGCCCTGGTTTGGTGGCAGAGGCTCTGAGGTGGGGTCTTGGGGTCCAGGTGCAGCACTGGAGACTTGGGGATGGTGTCATGGGCCTGGCGGGATTTCTGGAGGCACAGGGGTGGAGCCTTAGGCTCTGGTGTGACAGCCTCAGAGCTGGGACTGGGGAGGAGCCGGGAGCAGAACCTGAGCCACGAGCTGAGCGGCGCTCTGCAGAAGGCACTGACCTGACCTGGAGCGGGGGTCAGGGCCAGGCAGGCAGGAGGCAGCGGGGGCCTGGAGGGTGGGTTCGGGGCTGAGCAAGCTGCAGGCTGCTACTCAGGCACAAGGGTCCCCTCTCACTAGAGATCCCAGACCCTAGCATTGTCCCCACACTCTTCCTCTCTCACACCCACCTCTGGTTTGGCAGCAAATTCTATCAGCTCTGCCTTTTAAACATTTTTTTAGAGACAGGGTCTCGCTCTGTCATCCAGGCTAGAGTACATTGGTGCGATCATAGCTCATCGCAGCCTGGGACTGCTGTGCTCAAGCGATCCACTGCTTCAGCCTCCGGAGTAGCTGGGACTACTTTTAAAAATTTTAATTTTTAAAATTTTTGTAGAGATAGGGTCTTGCTATGTTGTCCAGGCTGGTCTCAAACTCCTGACCTCAATTGATCCTCCCAAAGTGCTGAGATTATAGGCGTGAGTCATGGTGCCCGGCCAGCTCTGCCTCAAATCAGCCACTTCTCTCCCCTTCCCTCTCCACCCCTGGGGCTATCCTGGTGGGAGCCCCCCGGAGCCTGAGCTCCTACCCTCAGTTCCCTCCTGGGCCCCTGGCAGATCGCCAACCGAGAGCACATCCCTCTCAGGTAAGTACAGTCCTTGGTCCTCAACAGCAGTCTTCATATTTCCTGCCTGACTCCAGCAGTCTTCATATTTCCTGCCTGACTCCTTCCTCCAGGTCCCCCTCAGAGCCACCTCCAGTGGGGCTGTCCCTGTCCCTGTTGAAAATTCTCCCCTCCCCACCTCCTCAACACCCCACACCCCCTCCTCTCTCTGCCCAACTTTTCTCAGAGGAAGAAGGGGGCTTTCTCTGACCCGCTCCCAGCTGTGTCCAGCACAGTGCCTGGTATGCAGTAAGCACTCCATAAATGCACATTGAAAGAAGCAGCTAACTTATGAGCATCATTTATAAGAAACCAGAGACAACTCCACGCCCAAAACATTAAGAAAGAAAGTTCAATTAGGGGCCATCTGTCTATAAAGAAAATGGAGCAGCAGCTGACACCGTCCCTCTAGGGACTCGCGGTGTGTTACAGGGGAAAAGTGGCCCCATGGGTGGCACATCCACTATAAGTTCTGGGCCCAGTGCCACGAGGAGGCCTCTCACAGTAGGCTGCTCCCATCACACAGCAGAAAACACCATTCATGTGCCCAGGTGGTCAGCATGAGACAGAGAAGCCCGAACCCTCATCACAGATGGGGTTTCCTACCAACCTGCCCATTGCTTGTGCTGGCCCCTGCCCTGCCTCCTCCACTGAGACAGGTCACAAAGAACTCGCTGGAGTCACCTTCCTGCCCATCCCACCCAGGGATCAGGCCTTGACGACCCTGACATCGAGTCCGATCAATTGGATGTGGCCACTTCTGTCCCTATCTCCTTGCCAAGATGGTCCAAGCCACAGGACGCTCCCTGCTTCACACAGCAGCCAGAGGAGGCATTTTTAATCCACAAAACCCAATCCCATCCAGCCTGGCTTAAATCCATCCCATTCAGAATGAAACTAACTCCCACCTCAGCTCTCTACAGCCACCCTCCTGTCCCCATGCAACAACCTTGTGTGTGCCCCAGGGCCTTTGCATGTGCTGTTCCAACACTGGGAATGCCCGTGTGGGCTCAGACAGGGGTCATCTCCTCCAGGACATCTCCCCTGACCCCAACAGGGTAAGGTGCCCCTTTGCTGTCCCCAGCGCCCTATGATCACCCTTGTCTCGGGGCTGGCTTGACTTCCAAGATATTCTTGGGGTCTCTGAAAGTATACAGCTCCCCTGTATGCCTTTCTCTGTGCTTTCTTTTTTTTTTAGATAGGGTCTCGTCCTGTCGCCTAGGCTGGAGTGCAGTGGCGTCATCATAGCTCACTGCAACCTCAAACTCCTGGGCTCAAACGATCCTCCCACCTCAGCCTCCCAAAGTGCTGGGGTTACAGGCATGAGCCACCATGCCTGGCCCTTTCTCTGTGTTTCAGGAGAGCCCTCCCCACCCATCCTGGCAGGGCTCCTACCGTAGAAGACAGATGGCGGGTCATGGAAGAAGGGGTAGTTAGTGCCGAAGAGCAGGTAGGAGGTATAGCTCCAGGAGCCCAGATAGAAGAGAAACTTCCAGGCGCTCTCAGGCATCTTGGAGGCATCTCTAGGCTGGAGGCGGCACCGCTTGGCCAGGGGCTACAGGGGAAAAGGCAGGTGGGCAGCCGTCAGCACTGGGGGCCAGAGGCACTCCTCCAGGGTGGGGAAACTGAGGCCCTGGGACTCCCCAAGCTGGGCAGCCCCTGTGCCCACAGCCGCCTGGAGCGAAACCAGAGCCCACAGGCGCCTGCCAAGGGCTAAACTTAGTGCCCAGCTGTCCGGCTGCAGTGGCGCTGGGGAGAGGAATAAGGGGGGGACCCTGAGGGGGAAGGAGGAGGGTTGTGGAGGCCAGTGGGGGACCAATGGGGTCAGCCCAGGGGAGTAGGGGGGCTGGGTGATGACAGGGGGAGCACGACAGGAAGGAGGAGCAGATTTAAGACATCAGAGGGGTTGTGGGGGTTGACCCATGAAGGCATATGATGGAGGAGGATGTGAGGGCACCTAGGGGAACATGTGGGGACCCCCACGGGGCTGATAAGAAGGGGCAGAGAGAACTTGAGAGGAAGAGGTCGCTTCTAGGGGAACCACAAGACAAGGGTGAGGGCGGAGGAAGCTGCAGGGTGGGGGCAGGGAGGGGCCTTCAGCCCCCAGGGGCGGGGCTCCAGAACTGCCGGGCCAAGCCCCGCCCCTCCCAAGGCTGAGGGGGCCGGAGCCTGGAGCCCAGAGCGGTTGTCATGGAGACAGCCAGAGCCAGCTCCTGTAACCCCTGGCAACCAGGCTGCTGCCAAGAAGATGAGCTTTGGAGAACCCGGTAGCCCCTCCACCGATTTCTTGGAAAGGGTGAGCCTCCAATTGGGGCCAGCATCCCCACCCAGGCTGGGGAGGGCCTGGGGCCGGAGCTTGACCTCGGGGGATTCTAAAGGTGAGGGGTGCATGACTTTGCTGTCTCTGCCCTGGTCGCTGGTAGTCCAAGAGTGGCCACATCCCCTCCCTGCCGGCTGTACCCCTCCCAGCCTTCTGCTTCCCAGCTGGAAACTGGGAAGCGGGCGCAGAGTCAAAGCAGGATGGATGAAGACTGAGGGGCTCTCCTCGGCAGGCCTGCCCACCCCCCACAGCAGCGTGGTGGCTGGGGTCTCTCCCCCATGTGGGTGACATGGGGACGGGGGCAGGGAGAGCAGCAGCCAGACAACAGCCCCAGCCCATCCTCGACCTAGTAACAAGGGCCAGCCTCTTCCCGGCCAGCAGAGAAAGGCCCCTTTGTTGGCGCTGGGCACTCTGTCCTCGCACCCTCTACCACCTCCAGCCAGACTGGGGCGGGGTGACCCCAGCTGGTCCGCGGGGGTGTCAAGCAAGCTAGAGGCTCAAAGGCCTTCCCACCAGCCCCTGCAACAGCGACCCCTCCCCAAGGATCAGGTGCCAATGTCACTACCATGGTCACTCTGGCCGGCACAGTGGCTTGCCAAAAATGGGGCAATTCTGCTGTCGTCCCGTGGAGGCAGCACAGTCCAGCCCTAAAATCCCAGGCCACATTACCTCCAAGGGAGCGACCACCAACGTGGCAGGGCGCCCATGCCTTTGCCATCCCTAGTCGGACAGTGGCGCTGACCCCAGACAGGCTGAGGCAGCGACCTGGCAGCTCCTGCCTCTTACAGATAGCGGCAGGCCAGGCGGCCCCGCCGCTGCACGGACACCGCAGAGACCCGGCAGCAGACCCCGCTTCGGGCCCAAGCGCGTCCCGAATGGCCAGGAGGCACATGGCGCAGGCGACCCCAAGGCGTCGAGCCCTCCCCGTTCCCGTCCTGGCTCCTCTGTCCAGGGCTCGGCGCTGCTCAGTAGAGCGCGCAGAAACCCGAGCAATCCACTGCCCGGGGCCTCCTTGTTCCAAACTGACCGGAAAGGGCTCCCCCCACGTCCTGAACACCCTACCCGTATCGGGCCCCCCTCGTCCCAGACTCACCCCGGCCCGGCCACACCCCCGCATCTACCCCCAACCCCGACCCCGCAATGACCGAAAAGGGCGCGCGGCGCCCCAGTTTTCTCCGTCCCAAGACCCCCACCGCCCCGGCTTCCCCCAGCCCGGGGTCACCCAGGTCCGGCCCCCTGCCACACTGACCCGAAAGAGGCGCGCGGTGGCCGCCGAGCGCAGTGCGGTCCAGCCGAGCGCGCCGACCGCCAGCAGCAGCAGCTCGGGCGGCGCCAGGTGCGCGTGCTCCGCCAGGCCGCGGCGGGCCAGCCCCCAGCCGCAGTCCGCGCAGCCCCGCGCCGCCGCCAGCGCGCTGCCCCAGCCCCGCTGCACCAGCTGCGCGTAGCTCGGCATGGGCTCGGGCCCCGCCGGCCCTGCCGCCGTCCCCGCCGCCGCCATGCCGCCCGCTAGCCGGCCGTTCCCGTCGCCTGCGCCTGCCCGCGGTGGCCTCCGGAGCCGCGCGCTCCGCGTCACGCGCCGCTGCTGGGCCGGGGGCGCGCGGGCGGGAGCTCCGAGGGTGGGGCGGGGCCGGCGCAAGCTCCGCCCCGGCGGGGGTCGCGGCCACGGGGACGCGGGGTGTCCCAGAGGCGGGCCCGCGCTCGCGCTCGGTTTTCAGCGGAGGAAACAGAGGGGCTGGGAGGCGGGGAGTCGGGGGGGGGTGGAGCGGGCCGGGCGCCCGCCGGGCCTGGACCCCGAGAGGCCCCGCGTACCCCCGTGTCGCGTCCCCATCGCTCCTGTGCCCACTACGGGTCCACCCCCTCACCACTGTGTCCGAGGCGTGGGGCATGGTGGGCGCCAGCAGGCGGCACCTCGGCCGACACCCCCTCTTCCCAGCCCTCCCCCTCGCCTCTCCTCTACGCTCCGGGCCAGGCCCAGACCTCACCATTCCCTGGGACCCTCACCACCTCCTCATCGGCTCAGGTCCTGGAACATCTTGGCACAGTCTCGGGACCATACCGTGGCCTTCCCACCCTTAGCAGGCGTAGGGTAGATGAAGGTTCTCACTCTGAAAAAGGACATGGCCCACCCGAGGGTGTGGAGACACCATCCTCCACTCCATGGGACTCCTGGCCACACCTGGCACTTGGCAGTGGGGCTCCATCCTGGACTGGGGACCGTGACACTTCCCAGGCCTGCTCCTCCGTCTCTGGCAGCTACTGGGGACTCAGAGACAGACGGTGAGGGAGGGGCTGCTCATGTTGGGGGTTTCCTGGAGGAAGAAGAGGGCTGGGTCCTGTCGCAGGGCCACCTGCCGCTGTCTGCAGCCCTGGGGACGGGGCAGGCCTTGCAGGGAGGCCGAGGGAGTGCGTCCTGATGTGGGGGGGACTCAGAGAAGCTGGATCAAGATCATGACTTCACTGGGACCCCACAAGTGACCTTCCAAGATCTACTGACCACGCCCTGGGCCCAAAGCCCCCAATGGCCATCAATGAGGACATCACCTCACTTGGCACTGCTGGCCCTCGATTCCAGCACCCAGGACTTCCCCTGCCACCTGGCCTTCAAGGTGCAGGATGCAGGGATGGGCCCCGCAGGAGCTGGGCTGGGTCCCAGCCACCAGCCCAACCTGACCTTCAGGCACACAAGTACAGAGGAGAACGGGGGCTTCCGCTCCTTCCGCTCACCCTGCATCCAGGTCCTACAATACATCCAGGGGGCCCCACCCCGAGACATGCTGGAGTCTGGCCACCTCTCTGCACCTGCGCAGGCTTGAGCTGCCCTGGGCCACCCTCCTACTTCCTCTCTGGTGTCCTGGCTCCTTCCTTGCCACACGCAGGCTGGAGGGAGCTGCTGACACTAAGGCCAGCTCCTCTGCTCACGGTGCTCCGTGGCTCACCACTCACTCAGTGAAAGCCCGGCGCCTCACCACCTGCCCTCACAGCCTCCCTGGTTCCTCCGGCCACGGCCTCCCTGCTGCTCTTCCCATACGCCAAGCTCAGTCCTGCTCAGCCTTTGCACAGGCTGTTCCCTCTTCCTGGAATGCTGTTCCCCTAGGTACCTGCAGGGCTCTTCCCTCACCTCCAGGTTTTATACATATGTCGCCTACCTGGTGTGCTTCCTTGACCCCCATCTAAAACCCTCTCCCACCATCAGTCTCCCCAGCACTTGTCACCATCTGTCCCATGTACATCCCACGCCTTTGTCCTGAATGCGCACTCCTCGTGGGTAAGAGTCTGTCCATCTGTGAGCTGGGGCAGGACGTGACAGGCCCAGCATGTGGGCAGTGAGGCCTGACCTGGTCAGGAGTTCAGGCCCCAGCCGGAGGCTAGAGATGTGACTGGATGTGCTGCCAGAGGCCCCCGGACCTTCCCAGCCACCTGCCCCCACCCTCCCAGCCGGCACTATCTGGTCACCATGGCGCCCATCAGTCATGGGAGAGGCACTGCCCGCCCACCCACTGGCCCCAACTCAGCCTCGAATTTCTTTTTGGCGGGTTCAACAGGAAGGCTGCCAACAGGTGGGTGCAGGGCAGCGATGTAAAGTGGCTCCTGAGGCCACCTGGGGAGGGGCCAGGCCCCCGCTCCCTTGGGGGAGCTCATCCCCAGGACCCTGGTCCTGACCCCCTGCTGGGGGGGGTCTGCTCCACTGGGTAGGGAGGTGCCGGGGTGCCGCCGCTGCTGGAGATGGGGTTGCTTGCTGTCCTGTCCTTGGCAACCAGGGACAGGGTTCAGTTTCAGGCAGCCACCCCCGAGACAACTGAGACCAGGCCCAGGTGGGGCAGGGAAGCCTAGTGTCCTATCTCCTCCCTGGAGATAAGCAAAGACACCAGCCAAAGGACAAAGGGCGCTGGCCCTGTCCAGCTCCCCTAGACCTCACAGCCCAGGGCAACCTCAGGCCCTTTGCACAGGTCTCACCTGCTGCCCGGGAGGCTTGGCCCCCAAAACCCAGCCTGACAGCTCCTCCTTGTTGTTTGCGTGGACCCAGCTCAAAGGTGACCTCATCTGAGAGGCTTGGCCAGCCATCTCCTCCGCCCCTGCTGCCCGCCACTTCCCTCCCTATTGTCCGCTGCCCATATCACAGCAGTGCTTGCTCACTGCAGGGGAGCTCGGTAGTGGCCAAGGCTGGCCGTCCCAGGGCCCGAGGGCCGCGACCACAGCAGGCGTCCATCTTGGCAGTGACTCACCAGCCAGCAGTGAACCGCGGGTGCGGAGTTCATGTTCACTACACACAGACCTGCCCACCACGTCCAGGCCACTCGAGGGTCTGCTTTGAATCTGGTAGCCCCTCACAATGGCTGCATGAACGCCCTGTGCCTCAGTTTCCCTGGACTCACCCTTGGAGCCTTAGTTCCCACGTGCCCCCTGCAAAGTGGCCAGAGCACAACATTGGGTGGGGATGCCCTGGAGGTGGGGCATTTATTGACGGATGGGGGTGCTAGCGCCAGGCTTCCGGCCCTGAGAGAGGACGGGGGCGATGCCAGGCAGGGAGGGCAGCCTCAGGCACAGGGAGCGTACTGCAGCACCAGCCGGCCGAAGTCCTTCTCCTTCAGCAGGATGAGACGGCGGGGGCGGGGTGGGGGTGAGAGACAGAGACAGAGAGAGGATACGAACGTGTGAGCCTGGTCTGAGCTCTGGGCCTTCCCTGCCCCTGCTTGTGGGTATCTGGGGCTTGGGGACGGGGCGCCCACACTGGCTCACCTTGGCCTGGTACTCCTTGATAAAGGGGTGGGACCTGTGGGAGTCCTTCAGCTGGGACAAGTAACGGTTAGTCACCTGCAGGGGAGGCAGGGCCAGGTTAGCCAACTACGGCACTCCACAGCGCTCTGACCTGGGGGGGGGGGGCAGGAGCCCTGGTCTCCTTCCCACACGGCCCCTCCCCCAGGGCTCCACACCTGGCCCTGGGATCGGGCTGATGCGGGGCGGGAAATACCACGTGGAACAGTGCCCCACACAGCTGGCACTCCACCCGCAGCTGGTGGGTGCGCCACGGGGTTCAGGTGAGTGGGTCAGGCAAGGTCCGGGTGATGGGGGGGCAGGGCGGGTTGGTGAGGGAGATGGTTACATGAGGGGAGCTGGGTTTGTTGTGGGCACAGGAAGACTTCCCAGGGCCCTGTGGATTAGAACCTGGACCCCAGGCAAAGCTGTGACTCCCAGCCTCGCCCCACGACTGCATGGGGCTGGAAGCATCTGTCCAGTTCTGTCTCCCTGGGACCGGGGGTCTGGAGCTATTTCTGGGGCCAACAGCTGGTTTCCCAGCCGCTGGTGGTCAGGGCTGTCTCTCTCCTGCACCACCACCCCCGCCCCGCCCCGCCCCACCCAGGGACCTTTCTACAAGATGGGGAATGACCATCACACAGCTCTGGGACTGGGGGCCTGGGCAGCAGGGTCACAGTCACCCATACCGAGCAGTGCCCCAGCCTCTCCCCGCCCAGGTGACTTGAGCTCACCAGAACCACCCTCCCAGGCCCCTTTCCCCTGTCCTGTCTCCCACCCGCCATCCTGAAGTGACATAGGCCAGGGTCCCAGCCCAGCCAGCCCTGGCCCAGGCCCTCTGAGCCCGTCTCTCTGTTGGACTCTCAGGAGCAGCTGACCCCACTGCCTGTGGCAGGGCAAATTTCTGTCCCAATCCCAGGCCAACTGTGATGTCCACACCCTGAGACCCCAGACTGGCCCCAGGTTGGCACTGTGGGGGCTAGAAAAACCCCCCGCATCTGGCCTCGGGCTGGGCTTGGGGGGCCTACCTCAGGGGGCTTGCCCAGGTGCTGGGACAGGACGATGAGGTTGATGAGCGTCTCTGGGTGGCCGCTGTCCTGGAAACACAGGGACACAGGGCAGGCGGGGTCAGTGACTTCTATTTTAGGCAGGACGATGTCCACTGCTGCCCTGGGGAGGGTGTGTGACCTGCACAAGGTCACCCCCTCAGAGGTGGGGTGGGCCCGGGGCTGCCGGAACCAGAGTTCCCCTCCTACCTCCCCCACCCATTCTGCAAAGCGGTGACCTCAGGGGTGACACAGTGCCAAGAGGCTGGCAGCCCCGAGCCCCCCAATTCCCCAGGCCAGCCACTTCCCCTCTGCACCTGTTTCCTCATCTGTGGACCAGCCTGGGACACTGCTCCCTTCTTTGTGGGGACTTGGAAGGGGCGTTGTCACACAAGTCTCAACTTGCTGCTACAGATGAACCCCAGGGCCATGGGGTAGACCTGCCATCCCATCTACTCCCAAGGAGCAGGTCTTGGTGGGGAGCTGCTGGAAAACTACCAGGAACTTCCAGGTGGGTGACCTTACCTGGCCTGGCCCACTCGTGCTGGCCTCCAGGGCACACACAGCCCTGGGAACTGCCTTGGCCAGAAGACCCAGCCAGAGCCTGGTGGCTGCTCAGAGCGAGACGCACCATCTGGGCTACACGGAGACCCGGGCCTGCCCCAGGGACGCCCTTGCCCGGACACCTTTACTGAGACCCGACTTCTGTGCATCTCGGCCTCGGCCTCCTTGACTGGACAGCGCTCACGTTCACAGGAGCAAGTGCGGCTGCTCCGAAAAGATCGGAGAGGGCCCCCTCCAGAAACCCCTCAAGAACATGGGCAGCCAGTCATAGGGAGTCCACCAGGGCCACGGGACAGCAAGCCAGCCCTGGGCAGTGTGTCAGGGCATGAGGACAGATGGGAATTGTCTAACTGGCAAGTCACGGGACGTGTCCCCTGTGCAGTGTAACAAAAACCCCCATAGGATGTGGTCAGGAACACAGACTACACTCAAGTTCTCGGGTGGCAGTGGTGGGGGACCTCGCCAGCATGACCCCCACGGGGTGACGGGGGACACGGAGCCTGTCCGAGATGCGAGGAGTTTCAGCCCTGACTGTTTAGATATAAAGAAGGACCCTGCCAAGGAGGAGGAGGAGGAGGAGGAGGAGGAGGAGGACACAGCCTGCCAGAGGGCGCTCTACAAATCGCCTCTGACGGTAACTCAGCCCAGCACAGAGCCGACGGGGAGGAAGTTACCAGCGCTTCTCTCTCATTAGATTAAAAATGTTTCTGCAAAACGGAAGTCTTCTCATCACAAAAAGAACACAAACTCATCATGAAGACTGCAAACACTGGTCAGGAGACAACTGCTGTCACCCTGGGGGGACAGCAATCTCTTCCCCTTCCTGACAAGGTCGGGCCCTTTCTCCTCTGCATGACGACTGGGGGCATCTCTTCAATGCTGGGTACAAACACAAGTGAGGGGCCCACTCGGAGGCCCCCAACCACGCAGCCAACGTGACAGCGAGGACAGGGCAGGGTGCAAGTATCTACTCAGCCCAGGCTGCCCAGATCCTGTCATTTCCAAGGGACGCTGGAATCTGCATTTTCATTTGTATTTCCTGATTCTTAGGTCTTGGCAGCTGACTGGGCAGTAGAATCCCTGTGGGGCCACGTGGCCTCCTGCAGGGTCTCTGCTGCGCCAGTTTCTACCCGTCCTGATCCCCACCCTCCAGCTACCTGGCCTTCCTGCCGTCCCCACTTTGGGGACGGGGCGTGGAGGTGGCTGGGCCCACACTCACCTTGTCGAGCGCCTCCTGCAGCACACCCTCGGCGGCCTCCCAGCGGCCCTGGGCCATGTGACAGGCCGCCTGCCCGTTGAGCAGCAGCAGGGTGGACAGGCACTTGTCGGCCATCTCCTGGAAGATGTAGTAGGCGTCCTGCAGCTTCTCGCCACCCTGTGGGGACAGTCTGGTGTCATCACTGGTCACCCTGCTGCCCGACCCTCCCCTGTCTCCTCACACAGTGGAGGCTACAGCCTGGCCACCGCCACGCCGCAGACACCCCCTCCCCACCCCCATGCAGCCTGTGCTCTGCTGATGAGGCTGAAAGATACACAGCCACCTCCCACCCAGCTCCCCAAGTGCCCGCTTTATGGATGCGGAAACCGAGGCCTCCAGAGGGAGACTCAACACACAGGTGGTGGGGCCGGGCTCAGCCTGGACTGCCAGGCCACAGGGCCCGTCAGAGGTGGAGGCAGCTCCGTGGCCAGTGGCCCTGAGCTGCCTACTTGCTAATGACACCGAATGACACTTGCAGGGGGAGCCTGAGGCCAAGGTAGGCTTTGAAGAAAGGTTAAAGTACCAGAAAGAGCTGCTGGGTTTGTCCCACTAAACGGGATGGACACTGCACATCCGTCGGCTGAGGGAGGCCCCACCCCCCTGGGCACATTGTTAACAGGCCCGTACAAAGAGCGACTTGGAAAGGAAGCCGAGTCCCAGGAACCAGGAGGGGCTGCTGCCAGGCAGGGCTGCCCAGGCCAGGGCTGAGGACACCTCCGCAGCTGCTATGGGAACACTCTCGCCGTGGCTGGCCGTGTACCAGGAGCCCAGACAGCAGAGCTGAGCGGGGGAGGGGAAGGACATGCTGCCAGGCTGGCGCAGCCAGGCTCGTCCGGGACAGCCGCGCCGCCTCTGGCTCCGGACCGCCCCTCCCCCACCGCTGCCCACTCGCTCTGGCTCTGGCCGAGTCAGTTGGCTATGAAACGCCCAAGCTGAGGCATGGCTCAGGGAAGCCGGAGCCGTGCCAGTCGTGAGGAGGGTGGTCCCTGGCCTATTCCTGGAGCCCCACTGGACCACGGTCCCCACAGAGTGGCCAGTGGCCGGGGCACAGATGGGGGTCGCCCACAGACCCCGCTGGGCTGGGGACCAATGATTCCTGCCACCCCTGCGCGGCCCTGGGGCTCACCATGGCCAGGTTGACCCAGGCGGTGGCAAGCTGGGTGAGGGTGGCGTCCTCGTCCTGGTCCTGCATCCTCTTCAGCTCCTTCCTGGGGGCAGGGAGAGGACGGGAGGGTGCTCAGTGGCCAAGGCACTGGCCCGGCGCTCTCCACTTTGGCAATGTCCCGCTACACACTCCCCTGCACGCTCGTAGCACTTGGGCAGCATGTGCCTGCCCTACCTGCTGCCCCCGAGGGCACCCAGCACCAGGTGGGGGCTCAGGAGGGAATCGACTGAACTGGGGACAGTGATGAAGGCACAGTGTGAACAAGTCCTGGGCAAGGGCCTTGGACCTGCATCGAGCAGAGTCCTCAACAGCCAGCCACAGCCTCCAACCCAGGGACGCCACCTCCAGGCTCTGTTCTGAGAGATGACCCCAGCCAGGGAATGCACCCGTGATGTGTGCTGACAGGCACAGCCTCCTCCGTTCCCACCTCACAGAGGGACACTGAGGCACTGACAGCAACGCCTCTCATCTCCCATGACACACCGCAGAGAAAGGTGGAGTGAAGGGCAGCCAGCGACCTCGTGGAACAGAATAGGCAGGAACCATGGAGCAGCAGGGGCTAGGGGCTCGGGGCTCTGGGGGCATATGGGGTCCCGACAAGGCTAGACTGGCCTGCCCAGGCGGAGCGCGCGGGGAAGGGCTCACCGGGCGAGGTCCAGACGGTCTAGCTTCAGCAGAATCTGCACCGTCATGGCCGTGCTGCAGGACAGGGCGGGCGGGCGCTCAGCAGGTGGCTGCAGACACACCAAAGGGCCCCCTCCCCGGACAGGGGCTCGCTCCGTGGGTCCGGAACGTTCCTCATTTCTCTGAGTTCAGACCCCTAGCCCTGCCCTGCATGGGTGGCACCCTCACTCCCACATTTTGCCGCTGAGCCTGCTCAGGCCTGGGAGCTCTCGTGGGTCCCCAGGGTGCGCGCTCCAGGCTCCCGGCCCGCTCACTGCCCACCCCGAGGAGGAGCCATCTGCAGACAGAGACCCATCCTGGATTCGTCAATAGCTCAGGAACACGGCCCCGCAGAGGAGGAGCACACAGTCGCGCCTGTCTCTGCTGTGGGGCCCTGGGGGCCACCCACTCTCTCAGTTCCCCTCGTCCCCAGGCAGCTGTAACCACCAATCACTCAGGGGCCACTTGCTGTTTTCCCACCAGAACAGGAGCCAGCACCGAGACCAGCACCGAGTGCTAACTCGCTCGCCGCACACCGTTCCTGCTTCAGGCCCCTGCAGGTCCCTTTGCGGATGGAGGTGGGATGTGAAGGAACACACAATGACCATGTGACGGCCAACTGACAACTCATGGAGGAAGGCAGGCACTACAGGGACAGCTCAGGGGGAAGGGCAGGCTTGCCGGTCTGTGACCAGCACCCTAGACACAGCACGGGCCCAGGGTCCCATGCTGGGTGGAGGGTGGCACTGACCACACCGCAGTGGGCTCCAGCACCCCGCCCGCAGAGAGCCCTGAAATCGGGCTGGCCCAAGAAGGCCTGAGAGACCAGGCCCAGGGCCTCGGAACAGAGGTGGCAGGGGGAACAGAAACCATGAGCAGAGACAAAGGCGCTTTCTGCTCTGCCCTCGGGAACAGAAGGTTTGCAGCCCTGGGCGCTGTGGGAGCTGGAGCGCGGACAGGAGACCTGGGCCTCGTTTCAGGGCTGTCTCATTCACTGCTGCCATGACAACGGCCAGCAAGGCTGTGTGCAGCTTGGAGGTGGGGGGGCCACTCACCACTCCAGGCTGTCCCCCTGGTGCAGGGCGCGCAGGGCAGCGTCTGGGTTCTGGTCGTGGAGGTAGACCGAGGCAGCCATGAGCAGGAAGGTGGTATTGGTTACGTCCACACTCTTGCTCATCTCCCGGTCCAGCTCGGCCACGATGGCATCCCTGCGAGACACAGATGCTCAGCGGCCCCACCTGGGGCCAGGAGGGGGCCAGGTCCCCACGTGACCTCTAAGAGAAGGCGAGCCAGGCCCCAGGGCGCACAGCAGCACCCGACGCTCACCTTCCCAGGAGGTACTTCTTGCCCTATACAGATGGGGAAACTGAGGCCAGGAGAAGCGGGGCCAGCTGCTCCAGGCCTGGAAGGAAGGATATGCTGCAGGAGAGGCCGTGCCCAGCTTTGTCTAGGAAGCATAATGAATGACCGCCAGGGTCTCGAGGTCCCTCAGCACTCAGGGGCTGTGGTGTCCATGGCACCCTGGGCTCAGTGGGAACTGGATGACATGGCAGGTGCCCCCGAGGAACATGAGAGGCACCGTGAGCATCACCCGCCTTCGCCAGGAGGCTGGTAGTCCTGGCAGGGACGTCCGACCGTAATCAGTCAGCCCTGTGGGCCTCAAGGCCCAGTCTTGGAGTGGGACCTTGGCCTGGGTGCTGAGGGTGGCTATGTGGGCAGACAGGAGCCCCCAGATGATGGCCAGCAGGGAGCACTTGGGCACCCCCACTGCCAGGACGGCCACATTTGGTTCCTGAGAGCCCAGAGTGTCAGCTGCACCCCTGGGTGGACAACGTGCCAGGGGCCACGCCTGGGCTCGAGTCCTGGCAAGGCTGAGGACCAGCTGGACGCTCCCCTCAGGCCGCAGGTCGCCTGAGCTTCTGTCTCCCTAATTGGAAAACAGAGCCAAACCCCTACTTCCCAGGGCTGCTCAGCAGCTGACAAGAGAAGGCAAAGGAGTCACTGTCAGACCAAAGCCACCGCTCCTCTGAGTCCACACGAGTCTCTGTGACCCCGTAAGAGTCCACATGGGTCCCTGGAGGACTGTTTACCAGGCATCTGTGTCTGATGGCCCCCCGAGGGTGGGGCACATTTGTCACTATCTAGGCTCCACTGAGAACTGGCTGCACCACCAGGCCCTGATAGACAAGTGACTTCAAGTCTGAGCCTGTACCACATCCCAGGTGGCTTAAGACAGCAGGGATTTATTCCCTCTCGGCTCAGGAGACCAAGCTGGCGGCAGGGCTGGTTCCCTCTGGGGGCTCTGAAGGAGAATCCTCCCAGGCCCCTCTCCTAGGGAGCAGCGCCGGCGACGTGGGGCAACCCGTGGCTTGAGGGGTATCACCCCATCTCTGGCCCCTTTTTCACATGGGCTTCCTCTCTGTCTCCTTCTGTCTCTTATGAGGACACCAGTTGTTGATTTCAGGGCCACCCTAAATCCAGGGTGACGTCATCTGGAGATCCTTACCTTACTTTCATCTGCAAAAACCCTTTTTCCAAGTAACGTTCACAAGTACCTGAGATACTACAAGGATGTATATTTCTGGTGCCACCAATCACCCCACTGCACCACCTTTGCACATGAGTCAACCCCCAGGAGTCTCTGCCTCCTCACGTGAAGGGAGACGGTGCTGAGGGTGCTGCCTCCGTGGGACAAGGAGGGGGCAGGACAACAGCAGAGTGTCACCCCAACTCTCGTTAGCAGGAAGGGACTCCTGGGTCTCCATAGCCTGGCCCCCTCTCCCCCTGTGACTGCCACCCATGGGTGACCAACACTGGTCTGTGGCTCAGAGACAGGACTTGGCACAGCCTCACCCGCCCCCCACCCAGGCTCTGGAGCAGATAATCCACAGGTGGCACGGCCACCTCTCTGGGCAGACCCGGAGCTGGCTGGGAGGGGCCTGCCCGAGGGCCTGGGGTGAGCAGTGCTGGTCAGAAAACTGGAGAAGCCCCTGCCCTCACCACAGCCTGGGCTGTCCCAGGGGAAGGGGGCTCTCTCAGGGCACCCAGTGCTGCGCAGTCATTGACATTTGCAGTAGTAGGTTCAGAGAGCGCCCCCTAGTCCCCAAGGCATCTGCACACACATCCTTGTCTCCCTGACCCTCCCCTTTGAAGCAGGGTCCACCTCTGCCCCTCTGCTGTGCAGGGGAGGGAAACTGAGGCACAGAGAGGTGAGGGGACAGGGAAGAGAAACACCCCATCTGAGGGACAGCAGAGGATGGGCACTGTGCCCTCCACATGCCCAAGGTCATGACGAATAGGCCTTGGAGAAGCCCCTGCGCCCAGGCTGGCCTGCCCTTCCCTCACGGGCCTCACCTCCGGCTCTCGTGGGCGAGGTACTCGGCGAACATGCGCACAGCCTGGAGCTCAGGGGCCGAGGAGGGCTTGATCTCATCCAGCACCACGCCGTACTTCCTCTGCAGTGGGGACAAACGGGTCAGCTGCGCCAGCCCTCCCTGAAGGATTTCTATGCCCTTGGCCTGGCTGTCAGCATCACCTCGGCAGAGCCCCCAGACAGGAGGCCTTTGTCCTGCCAGGGACCCATCTGCCCACCAGGGACCACCACTGCAGTGCACTGAGGAAGCTAGCATGGCGTGACCTGTCACAGGCAGCAGGTGTGCCCCCACCTGTCAGGTCACGCTGCCCAGTGCTCACGCTGGAGACCCTGGCAGGTTACTACCCCTCCCCTCCCCAGCCGTCTGCCTCTGGCGGTGAGATGACAGGCAGGGATGGGTGAGCCACCTGGGGGAAGGCAGTGGCTTGGGGGGGGGGGTCAGGCACATGCTCCTACAAAGCAGAATGTGCCCCTGCCCCGCCTGCCTCATCCACAGGCCCTCATGCTAACACCAGACTGATGCCTGCGGTCCCTTCTGGACCCAGGGGCCTGGTCCTCGCTGTGTCCCTTCCTAGACAGCTTCCATTCTTTTGTTGTTGCGTTCCCATGTTAATTTTCGAAAAACACATCCGTACAGGTGCACGCGGTACACGCATATGCACGGGTGCGTTTAACCACCCTGAAGACCTGCCAGGGCATGCCAGCTGCACACACCGTCTGGGGCTGGGCTCGCCCCTCGAGGTTCAGGCACGGGGGCAGGCCCGTCAGGCTCCAGAATGCTCCGCAGGGAAAAGGTGCTCACAGACCAGGGAAACTGCCTGATGCCAATGACAGTGCAGCAACACTGGAGCGTCACCAAATGTCCCACACTAACGTAGGACGTTAACGATGAGAGGAACTGTGTGGGTGCGAGGGGCGTAGGGAACTCTATGTGCTATCTGCTCAATTACTCTGCAAACCTAAAACTGCACTAAAAAAACAAAATCGATTAATTTTTTTAAAAATCAAGAAACCCCAACATAGGCCCCCGGCCTGGGGGCCCAGGGCCTCGGTGACACAGCCACCTACCTGTGGCAGCCACACTGACTGCCTGTGGTCACTGGACCCTGCAGGCCTGGATGCCCTCTCTGTGGCCCCTTCCTGCACTCCGGCCCCGCCCCAGCACTCTGTTCGTTACTCTCCCATCCCGAGTTCGCGCTGCCCCGGGTCACGGGCCAGCACTCACCTGTGCAAGGTATGCTCTGTACAGGAAGACGTCCCTTTCTATGTCTCTCTCTGAGCTCGACAGCTGTGGGAACAGAGGTGGGTCAAGAGGCAGGCCAAGGCACAGCAAGCCCGCACAGGACCCCCGGACAGGCCCTCGGAGACTGGGAGCAGGGAGCCTGCCTGGCGGGGTCCCGGCCCTGGCCCTCCACTGCACATGACTTCCAGTAGTGTGAGAGTGGCCACTGCTGGGGGCACCCTGCATGGAAGGCACCTGATCTCCTGCCCCAACACCACCCTGGGAAGGAGGCTCGACCAACCCTCCTGTTTGACCCAAAGTGCAGTGGTCGCTCCAGCCACACAGTGAGGAGCTGGGGTGGCGCCGGTGCCTCCGACTGCCTGCGGGGCACGCGGGCACGCGAGGCTTGTTCCCGTTCTGCTTGTGCTTCAATACACTCTGAGCTCAGTGTGGCTGCCCCAGTGCAGCGACAACTGTACCCAGTGAGGCCAGGGGAAACCCAGGGACTGCCCCGTACTTGGGCCATGCCCCCTTGGCCCAGCCACTGCAGAGAACCAAGGAGCAGAAGGGAGGTGACCTCCCACAACATTCGGTTTAGGGCTGTGAGGACACTGCCCCGAGCCCAAGCCAGGCAGGGAGGCTGGGGGCCCTTCCTCGGGAGAACAGCTTTGAATGCTGCCCCGGGGTGCTGCCTGACTTCCAGGTGGGCACAGTGTAGCTTAGCCCGTGGCTCAGGGCCTTGGCACAGGCCACCTGGGGCTGGGAGGGTCAAGTGCATGTGGGAAGCAGGCCCGGCCACCTCAGGGTCACCACCCAAACAGCCTCCAAACTAAGGGGCCTGGGAAAGTGCGCAGTGAGATGGCCCACCAGCTCCCAAGGCATGAGGACAAAGGATCCAGTGCCCCAAAGCTGGGAGCGCACCAGGAATGCCATCCCCCAAGGCTGAGAACCACAGATTCTAAGCCACCATGCCCTCCTCCTTCTCCCTAGCCTGGGGCAGGGGTGTGGGTGGCAAACATGTTCTCAGCCCAGGCCATGGGAGACCTGGCCCCAGCTCAGACCGGTGTCACCAAGGGGCCCTGGTAGCAGGCTGGGCAGCTGGCCATGATTTGGAACATGGTGCCTTCTGAATAAGCAACTCTCAAGTGACCCTAGAAGGTGGACATCAGCAAGGAGGACCAGCCTGGGGCAACATGCTGCCACCCTCAGTTAAAAGAGACAAACGCCAGCTCTTGGTGTCTTTTTTTTTTTTGGAGACAGGGTCTCGCTCTGTCGGCCAGGCTGGCTGGAGGGCAGTGGCACAGTCATAGCTCACTGCAGCCTCGAACTCCTGGGCTCAGACGGTCCTCCTGCCTCAGCCTCCCGAGTACCTAGGACTACAGGAGCATGCCACCATGCCCGGCTAACTTTCGTGCTTTTTGTAGAGATGGGGTCGCGCTCTTCCAGATAAGAGATCATATCATCAGCAAAGGGCAGTAGTTTGACCTCCTCTTTCCCTATTTGGGGGTCTCACTCTTTCTTAGGCTGGTCTTGAACTCTGGACCTCAAGTGCTCCTCCCACCTCGGCCTCCCAGAGTGTTGGGATTACAGGCGTGAGCCACCGCGCCTGCCCAAGGGTCTTGGTGAGGATACAGTGGCGTGTCATAGGGGTACCAGGGAGGCCTCAGCTGGCCTGTCCATAACACGCACAGTGCCACTGGCCCTGCAGGACGGCCAAGGTGTCCGCAAGACCCTGGGTGCAGAAGCACAGGGGCTGCTCAGTCCACCCGAGACAGCGCCAGGAAGCGTAGCAGGACAGAAGTACAGAGCAGGGACCCTGACATGAGGCTCTGGAATGATCCCACCGTAACGGGAAGTGATGCGTGTCTCCCCAGGGTGGGACAAGCTCTGGTCTTCAACCCCAAGGGCTCATTATAATTCCCTGGGAGCTCAGAAACTAGCCAAGCCAGGAGGGCGATGTCCACCAAGGTTGTCTGACCCCAGGGTGGCCCCAGCACTGCCCCCAGGCAGCTTGGAGGTGTGGCCAGGGCTGCAGACTCTGGGTACTGGCTGGGAAGGCCAGTGGTGGGGTGGGGGGTTCTGCAGCCAGAAACCTTGGGGGTGGTGTCCCCTCCCTCTACTGTCCTTGTGGCCATTCAAGTCACCTGACCATACTCCACCTGAGCAACTCAAGGCTTTGCTTCCCGCTTTAACCCCAACACCTGGGCGGTGCCTGCCATCTTGTGGGCACTTGACAAATGTCTGACAAAAGGGGAAATGTCATGACGGTGCTACCATAGATAAAGGACAATGACACTACAGGTGGGCCTGAGTTGCTGGGGCTGCGGTAATGAACCACCACGGCCTGGGTGGCTTGAAACAGAAATTTATGCTCTCGCGGTTCTGGAGACCAGAAGTCCAAACTCAAGGCACTGGCAGGGTCATGCCCCTCCAAAGGCTCTAGAAGGATCCTGCCTTCCCCTCCCAGCATCCGGCGGCTCTGATGTCCCTTCGCTTGTGGCCACATCCCTCCAATCTCTGCCTCTGTCTGCGTCTCAAATCTCCCTTTTGATTTAGGGCCCATCCTAAACCCCAGGTGATCTCGTCTACAGACCCGTCCCCTAATTACATTCACAGAGACCCTTTTTCCAGATAAGCCACATTCACAGGTTGCAGGTAGACACATGTTTTGGGGCCCCGTGGGATTCAGGTGGCCCATGGACCAGAATTAAATCACATCGAATGGCTCAGCAGGGACAGTAGCCTCCTCCTTCTGGATGCACCACGGAAAACATGTTAGCTTAACGTCAGTGTGTTCTTGTACCACATCCCTCCAGCTCAGCCAGAGCGAGACCGCTAGTCTGGTACCCATGACTTTATTTTTGGTCACTATCTACGTAAAGCAGGTCACACTGGTTCTCCCTTTCAGCAGCAATATGAAGCCTTGGTGTCACGACACCGGAATAGTCAAACAGCACGTTGCTACGACATAAGCAGAACAGACTCACGGCAGAAGCCAAATGGCTGCGTGCAAGCCTGATGTCGAATCTCACTATCTCGTGACCCTAATGAGATAAGCGTAATCATTGCCATTTGACAGAAGGATAAACTGAGGCTCAGAGAGGCGCAGTGACACACAGCTAGAATCCAGGTCTAGGTATCTATCAGTCTTGTATCAGTCGACAGTACCCCAGCAAGGGGGTAATACAATTGTGGTGGTGAGCTGAATAAGGGACCCCCGCAAGAGATGTCTGTGCCATCATCCCTGGAACCTATGAATAGTTTATACTACATGTCAAACGGGAGTTTACAGATATGATTAAAGCAATGGACCCTAAGAGGTGGAGATTGTGCTCGGGCATCCAGGTGGGCCCAGTCTAACCACACAAGCCCTTAACAGCAGGGAGTGGGCCGAGGGGATGGAGCAGAAGGGGAAATCTGAGAGATTCCAGGTGGGAGAAGGATTTGACACCCCGAAGCTGGCTCTAAGATGGAGGCCCAAGCACAAGCTTTAGGGTTGGAGACAAGCTTCTAGGAGCTAAGGGTGGCCACCGGCCAATAGCAGCAACCTGAATGAGCTGGGAAGTAGATTCTTCCCCAGAATCTTCAGAAAGGACACAGCCTAACCAACACCTTGATTTTAGCCCGTTGAGAGCCATGTTGGCTTTTGACCTACAAAAACCATGAGATGACAAATGTGTTGTCCCAGCCCAGTACCATGGCTCATGCCTGTAGTCCCTGCAACTCTGGAAGCTGAGGTGGGAGGACAACTTGAGACCAGGAGTTCAAGACCAGCCTGGACAACATAGTGAGACCCCATCTCTTAAAAAATTAAAAAAATGTCTTAAGCAGTTGTTTGTGGTAATTCGTCATGGCAACAAAATTAATACAATTGTACAAATGTTACTTCAACAAATCCCAAGAGCCTCCTGAAGTCTGTTTCACGTTTTATCCCTGCTATATGGACAATGCTTGGTGCTCTAACGGCCACTCACATCTTTGGAATAAAATCCAAACCTGCGCCATGGTCCCCAAGGCCCTGCACTCCTTTCTGTCCTCTCCCTCTCTCGCCCCTCTTCTATCTGCCACACTGGCTTGACTACCCCAAGCTCATACCTGCCTGAGCACCTTAGCAGCAATCTATCAGGTTAGACCTTTCTGAAGGTTCAGCCTCAAGTTCAAATGCACCCTCAGAGAGGCCTGGCTTGATCTGGCCATTCCTGTGTGAGCAGGGCCCACGGTTATTCTCGGACTTGGCTCTTTTTATCTCCCTACCCCCAAAGTGCCCACCTCTAGCTGTAACCACACATTCACTTGCTTACTGTTGTCAGAATGCTAGACTGTGAAGGCAGGCAAAGACCCTGCCACGTCTGCTGCTCTTAAACGTTCTCCAACAGCTCACCCTCAAAGTGACAGTCACACCCATATCCCTCCCTAAACATCCTTCAAGAAACAGCCCCTGAGTGTTACAGCTCTCTTAGAATTTGTCTAGCAGGTTTTCCGGTTCTCATTGGAAGACCTCCCCTCCACATGCTATCAAAGTTTAATTAATTTAAAGAATAATTATAATAAAGAGACAGCCCCTGCTGCCCTCTGTCCTGTCACCTGCTCCTCACAGCTTGGCTTTGCCATGATGGGCTATTTTCTGGTCCTTCAACAACCAAGCTAATTCCCACCACTCTCCATCACACCTGTCTCTTGTCGCTTCCTGACTTCTTGTTCATGTACTTGTTTACTGTCTGCCTCTGTTGCTGGGCTGGGGTTTCCAAGAGAGCTGGGAATTTTGTCTATTTTGTCACTCTCTGAGCCCAGTCGAATGAATACAGGGCCTGGCCCATAGAGGCGCTCAACGAGGAATGGATGAATGGGCGAGCTCTGGGGAAACAACATGGGTAGTCGGGCAGGGTAACGCTTCTCTCTCTGAGCCTTGGTGTTCTTATCCGTAAAATGGAGATAAACATCAGTCCCTACCTCGCGGGAACTGAGTGTACGGCTCAACGAAAGAGAATTATTACTCTAGTGGCATAAACATCTTCCTTACTCAAATACCTTCCAGGGCGCAGTGAGCGCTAAATGCGAAGACGTAAACTGTTACTGCCTTGGGTTTTGTCATGGGACAATGATTAATTCCCACCGCACTATTAAGAAGCGTGCGGAGAAAAAAACTCCAAAAGGAGAAGATGGAAAGTTCTCAGAAGCAGAGCGCGGCTCGCGGCCACCAGGAAGCGTCCTCTGCCTCCGCCCCCAGCGTCCCCTCGCCCCTGAGCGCCCGCCCGCACCTTCACCCGCTGCGCCTCGTTGATGCACTGCTGGTAGCTGCCGATGTAAAAAGCGTTCTTCACGTCGAAGAGCTCATCCACTTCCCCGGAGCCGCCGGACGCCGGGCCGGGGGCCAGAGGCGCCATGTCGCTACGGTCTCGCCCGCTCCTCTTCCTGAGAGACACGTCGGCCGGAAGCAGAGCGTCACTACCGGGAACGCTGGGAAATGTAGTTTACTCAATTCCAGTGGCAGGGAAAGAAGCCAACGGGAGTCTCCTCAATGGGAGCAAGGGGGCGGGAGACACAAGTGCGTCTCGCAGGGCGTCTCGAGAATTGTAGCTTAATTTGTTCCTGCGAGCCACTGGGATCCAGGGAAACATGATGAGGCTATGGTCCTGGCTGGGAATGGCCGAATGAGCTGGAGAAGGTGGGACCACATAGGACGCCGATCCAATAAACGGGAAGGAGTTTTCGTGACGTAATCGGCGCGCGCCGGAAGCGCGATTCACACGGGTCCCACGGCAGGTGGCGTGGATGGCCGGCTTCGCTGAGCTCGGGTTGTCTTCATGGCTCGTGGAACAATGTCGGCAGCTGGGTTTGAAGCAGCCTACGCCCGTGCAACTCGGCTGCATCCCCGCCATCCTGGAGGGTGAGTGTAGCCAGGCGGCTTTCCTAAGAGGCGTTATCGCTCCTCTCGCCTCCCTTCCCTACTAGTAGCCTTTGCCCACGCCGGTCCCACGGGACGAGGGGCGGCCTTGGGCGTTGCTGGGAGCATGGGTTCCGGAGGCAGACTGGGCAGTGTTGACGTTTGGGCTCCACAACTGACTCGTTGCGTGTAGGCACACAAGTGACGTAATCTCTGAAACTTTCATAGTCTCAGGACAAGGAGAGTTTGACGAATAACTTGTTTGATAGTGCCGTGAAGGTTCGGCAGAGCTGGCACTACTATCTTCATTTTACAAATAGGAACTGAGGCTGTCGACACTGCTAGTATATCCAGGACTCCGTGGTCTTATGACGGGTCTCCCTGCTCTTCTGGCTAAACCCAGTTTTGCTGTTAAAAAGATGCCCACAGGAAGCCTAGCATGTGACAAGTTGAGAGATCGAATAAACAGAAATGAAAGCGTCAACAGGGCGCATAGGCTGCGTATTGGAGAAGGGAATTCAAAGTCGGATGCTCCAGGAGGGATCAGTATGAGGGTGGTAAGCTGCAGGCATCTCGGGTCAGATGGATATGGATCCCAGTCCAGCCTGCTACTCGTCGGCTGTGTGTCTTAAGAAAGTCTCTGAGACTCAGTTTCCCCTTTTGTTAAATGGAGACAATAATGGCTTCTCCCTTGTATGATTTGTTAGTTGCCCGTGATGGAATGTGGTTGGTGTGCCTGCAATGGAAAAGGCATAGGCCAGGACTGGGCTCGCAATAGCTGCTCATTAAACGCAGGCTATTGTAAACTATGTCCAATGGAACGGCTGTCTACACATAGAGTGTGTTGATGCTGTGTTGCTCTCCACCCAGGTCGGGACTGCTTAGGCTGTGCCAAGACAGGCAGCGGCAAGACAGCGGCATTTGTTCTTCCCATCTTGCAGAAGCTGTCTGAGGATCCCTATGGTATCTTCTGCCTTGTCTTGACACCCACTAGGTGAGCCTTCCAACGGGTCCCCTGGGTGTGCATTAACCAGCTGTGTTCTCTTGAGCAAGTGCCTTTCCCTCTCTGAGATGCACTTGCCCCATGTGTGAAATGGGGACAGAAATCGTGGTCACCTCGTAGGGGGGCTGCAGAATTAAGATAGTGTGTGTGACAATTTCTCAGCATAGGGCTTGACTTAGGGCAAGTGCTGGTCAGAAGGGAGATGCCAGTAGTTTTATAGTTCAAGAAATAGACGTGTCCCCTCCTTGGACAGCCAACCACAGCAGTTGACATAATAAGTCTCATAACGGGAGTAGGAGTGGTGGGCACAGCATTTCTTGATGGTGTGGCTTGGGGGGTTGGGAGGCCGGGGAGTCGAGGAAGACTTCATTCAGGGGGTGCCTTAAAGATGAAAAGGGCCTTGCAAAGGGAAAGGTATTCTAGGCAGAGGGACCTGCTGGTGCACAGATGCAAAGACATGAGAGCAGCAAGGAGCGGAAAGGGTGCCGGGGGCCGGGCACATTAGAGACAGTTCGAGAAGGGCCTTGAATGCCAAGCAGAGGATTAGAATTGATTCTGAGGGTGTGTGAGCAGAAGAGGGCAAGACAGGAGGCCAGGGAGAGGCATGAGCAGAGCTCATGGACGGAGGGTACAGAGCTGTGATCTGACCCAGCCTGGCCCCTTCGCACCCACAGGGAGCTGGCCTACCAGATCGCAGAGCAGCTCCGAGTCCTGGGGAAGCCTCTGGGCCTGAAAGACTGCGTCATCGTCGGTGGCATGGGTATGGGGCCGGGAGGCTGGGGGACCCTCTGTGTATGGGACCTCTGCAGCCTCAGACCACTTGCCCAGCCCTGCCTCTCCCCCTCTGCCCCCAGACATGGTGGCCCAGGCTCTGGAGCTCTCCCGGAAACCACATGTGGTCATTGCCACACCAGGGCGCCTAGCCGATCACCTCCGCAGCTCCAACACCTTCAGCATAAAGAAGATCCGCTTCCTGGTAAGCGGCCTGGCCCTGCCTTCTTGGACCTCGTGAGCTGGGGTCAGGGCCTCTGGGCCCAGTGTCCGCCTGGGATACTATCTCATCCATTTGGGAAACGTGTGTCCCCTAGACCACCTGGTAAAGTGCTAGGAACAGTGACGAGGACTATTCAGGGACCAAAAAGAGGGGGGTTCTGAGACTTGGGTGAGGAGACAGGCCTCCCAGACCTGGGGCCACAGATGGCACCCTCACCTCCACTCCCCCTTGCCCCCACGGCACTGCAGGTAATGGACGAGGCCGACCGGCTGTTGGAACAGGGCTGCACAGACTTCACTGCGGACCTGGAGGTCATCCTGGCGGCCGTGCCGGCCCACAGGCAGACACTGCTATTCAGCGCCACCCTAACCGACACGCTCAGGGAGCTGCAAGGCCTGGCCACCAACCAGCCCTTCTTCTGGGAGGCACAGGCCCCGTGAGTCCACAGCCACTGACAGGGCAGGCCAGCATGGGGGGTCACACCCAGGCGGGGTGAGGGGGCAGCTCCATCCATCAGAAGCCAGAACTAAGGCTCGGTGTCCCCAGGGTGAGCACCGTCGAGCAGTTGGACCAGCGCTACCTGCTGGTGCCTGAGAAAGTCAAGGATGCCTACTTGGTCCACCTGATCCAGAAGTTCCAGGATGAGCACGAGGACTGGTCCATCATCATCTTCACTAACACGTGCAAGTGAGCGTGGGTGGGCAGGGCCCTCCTCTCCCCGCCCATAGGCCTTCACTGCAGGAGGTGGCCCAGTGTCACAGGTCTGGGACACACAGCCCGTCTCAGCACTCCCCAGCCTCTGCTCAGACCAGAGGTTATGGGGGCTTTGTTCAAGGAGCCGGGGTCACCTCATCTGAAGGTAGCGCCCTCTGGCTTCAGAGTTCCTCAGCCCCACCCTTGATGGAAGGGCCAAGAAACCCCCGCAAGCACTGTTTCAGCAACCTAGTCATTGTGCTCTGGGGGTGTCACTGAGCTTTCCTGGGCCTCCAGTCCCAACTCGCAGGAAGTTGTGACAATTAACTGAGGCCTGATGTGTGTCAGCAGCAACATAAAGACCCCCGGGGCAGCTTCCATCAGCTCCTCCTTTGAGCTATTTGGGGACGTCATCAAGAAGTTATAGGCTATTCCAGCATTAGCCAGGACAACAGGGCAGAAATCAAGATGGTTCAAATGTATTGGCTCCCCGAAGAGAAAAGTTTGGCTGTGAGGTGGCTATCAGGCACAGCAGGATCCAGCAGCTTATGTGATAGTACCAGAGGTCTCTCTGTGCCCATCTCTGAACTCTGTTTTCCTCTGCTGCCTCCTTGGGAGGCTATGCCTTCTTGATGATAGTAACTACCCCTAGCAGCTCAGTTTCCAGCCCCCCAGCCCTGCAAACCCAGCAGAAGGAAAGAGATTACACCTGTTCCGAAGTCAAAGGAGCAGTCCCAGGCCTAAGGAGGGGTCAGCAGCGAGGACATCAGGCAGGGAGGACCTCTAACACCCTGCATCCTGCCTTTCCTTTCTAAGCTGAGCAGGGCCACCCTGCTTGGTGTTTCGGGGCTGCGTGCGGGCAGGAATGCCTTCCCAGGACCCCAGAACTTGGAGGGGTTAATGGGTGCATCCTTCCCACCAGGACCTGCCAGATCTTATGTATGATGCTGCGCAAATTCAGCTTCCCTGCCGTGGCTCTGCATTCCATGATGAAACAGGTGAGGCAGCTCGCTCTATACCCACCAGCCTCAGGGCCTTTGCACAGACTTATCCCTCTGCCTCGAACCGTCTTCCTACTGCCTTTTCTCTCCTGGTCTCAAAAGGCCACTGCTCGGCGAGAGCCTCCCTGAATACATCTCATTCAACCACTGTTCAGTTGTCCTTGTCTGGCCTTTTCACGGTCACCTCCTTCAGTGGACTGAGCCCCGTGAGGGCAAGGACTGTCCTGGCCTCTGCCCTCCCCCCACCCACTGGCGTTTCTCTCCCTGACCTGGCACAGAAAGAACGCTTTGCCGCCCTGGCCAAGTTCAAGTCCAGCATCTACCGGATCCTGATTGCGACAGACGTGGCTTCCCGGTGAGCGGCCCCTGGGTCTGGGCTCCACCCCTGCCTGGGTCACTCCCCTACGACGGCCCGGCGAGGCCCCAAGGCAGGGTCAGAGGGACAGGCTGGCTTTGGGTGTGGGTCAGGCAGCCCCAGCTTCTGAGAAAAGTGACTTTGGTGAGTCCCCGCCTCAGTTTCCCCACGTGGGTGTTGGAGCTGATTGGCCTCTGCCTGCAGGGGCCTGGACATCCCCACAGTGCAGGTGGTCATCAACCACAACACCCCCGGGCTCCCCAAGATCTACATCCACCGAGTCGGCCGGACGGCCCGTGCAGGTGAGCGGGCTGGGCAGCGTCTGGGCACCTGTCCCTCCAGCACGCCCAGACCCGAGGACCTAAGTTGTGAGCCGGTGGGACGTGGGTGGGATGTAGCCCACGGGCGAGAGCCACTAGGGGTAACGTTTGCAAGTTAGGGTAATCGTCCTTTCAAACGCAAAGGCGAGGGGTGTTCTGCTTGCCCCACGTGACCTGGGTCATGCTGAGTGGCATGAGGCTGTCCTCTGGGAAGGTGGCCCACACTGCCCCAGCCCCCTTTTCCTGTCTGAGTTCTCAGTCGGGGCCCGGCAGCAAGGAAATGAAAAGGCCCGAGAATAAGAACCTGCCCCTCAGGATGTGACGGCCAAGTTTGGTCCCTCACTGTGACCTTGGCCCAAGGGCCAAGGAGACATTCTTTTATCCGATCCCCAGCCTTGCCCGGGAGAGGCATGGTGTCTGTGAGATTCTGTCACACCTGGCACCTGGAGAGACATGGTTCCTGAGGACAGACTGGGCCTGGCCATTCTTTCCTGACCCCGTGGCGTCGGGCAGGTCATGTCTGTTCCCTGGGCTTCAAATGGCGGATAGCAATAATGATGATGCATCTTGGGGGCTGCTGTGAGGGTCGCAAACCTTGTGAGCTGTCAGTGCCCTTCTAGCCCGCGTCAGTCACAGAAATGGGGAGCAGAGATCTGGGCTGAGGTTCATGAGGACTAATGGCTGAGATAACTTAGCCCGGGCTCCCTGGCAGCCAAGCCAAAAAGGGAAATCAGCCAGTTACCAGCCTCTGTGTAAGGCCAGGCTGACAGGAGAGCTGCCTCTTTCTAGCATCCTACGGCTCCTCTGGGACAGACAGATAACTGTGGTGTGTCCCCACAGGGCGACAAGGACAAGCCATCACACTGGTGACACAGTATGACATCCACCTGGTGCATGCCATCGAGGAGCAGATCAGTGAGTGAGGCAGGGTGGGTAGAGAGCAGAGGTGGGCGCCTCTGGGTTAGACACCTGTTTGCCCCCATCAAACGTTCCTTTTGGGGCCGGGCGCGGTGGCTCACGCCTGTAATCCTAGCACTCTGGGAGGCCGAGGCGGGCGGATTGTTTGAGCTCAGGAGTTCGAGACCAGCCTGAGCAAGAGCGAGACCCCGTCTCTACTAAAAATAGAAAGAAATTAATCGGACAACTAAAAATAGATAGAAAAAATTAGCCGGGCATGGTGGCGCATGCCTGTAGTCCCAGCTACTCGGGAGGCTGAGGCAGGAGGATCGCTTGAGCCCAGGAGTCTGAGGTTGCTGTGAGCTAGGCTGACGCCACGGCACTCACTCTAGCCAGGGCAACAAAGTGAGACTCAGTCTCAAAAAAAAAAAGGTTCCTTTTGCCCAGTTCTTGAAACAGAAACTCCCCACAGTGGCCAACAGCAGCTGAAAGCCACCTCGGACAGGAGGGGACTTTGGGTTTTCAGACTGAGGTGTGTGGACGGTCCTTGAGGCCATCCACTGTGACATCAAAGGCCCCAGTGACAACCTAGGCCTGGGCCTATTAAAGACCCTTTCAAGTGGTTTAATGTGTAGCCAAGACAGAGAACTACTGATTGGGGTGTGTCCGATCACAGCACAGACTGTCCTAAAATTCAGAACCATTTCGACTTTAAAAGACATTGTTTCCAAGCAAAGAAGAGATAGCAGGCCGCTCCTTCCTAAGGCCCGACATCCCTGGTCTTGCCCACCTAACTCTTAACTGATACGACCCCGTGTGAACTTGTATGCCGCACTGCACGGGGAGCTCACTACATGGCCGAACTCCTTCCCTCCCTGTTCTGTTTCCTCCCCACCCCTGCCCGGGGCTTGGCTGCCCCCGCAGAGAAGAAGCTGGAGGAATTCTCGGTGGAGGAGGCCCAGGTGCTGCAGATCCTCACGCAGGTCAACGTGGTTCGGAGAGAGTGTGAGATTGTGAGTGTCAGAGGCGGGGCCTGGGGTGCCTCCTTCAAGACAGGGAACCCCTGACCAGCTTCTCCCTGCCCCCCCCCAGAAACTGGAGGCGGCCCACTTTGACGAGAAGAAAGAAATCAACAAGCGGAAGCAGCTGATCCTGGAGGGGAAGGTGAGGGCCGAGCTGGCGGGGGTGGGGAGGGAGGGCTGCAGGTGGGTTCTCGGTGCAGCGGGGAAGGCGCCCAGCTCAGCGACCTCATTCCCACGCCAGGACCCTGACCTGGAGGCCAAGCGTAAGGCCGAGCTGGCCAAGATCAAGCAGAAGCACCGGCTCTTTAGGGAGAAGGTGGAACAGACGCTGCGGCGGCAGAAGGCAGCAGGGCGGGCTGCCCGGGGCGTCCACCCAGCACCCCGCCCGGGGCCCGCCCAGAGCCCAGCCTGAGCCCCACACGGCCCCTGCCTCCCCAGTTTGAGGGACCTCTCCTGGGGTCTGCCCAGTCCCCCTCAGCAGACCCTGTGGGCAACGAGCCCCTCGTCCCTGTGCCCCCCGCTGTCCCCTTCTTGGAGCCTTGGCCGAGAGGCCGCAGAGGAGGAAGGAACACACTGGCCAGGAGGTTGGACTGAACTCCATGTAGTACGCCCGGGCCAGGGTCACCCCCAGAGGAGCCGTGTGCAGCAGGCGCTCAATAAATGGGTCTTTTCGACTTGCTCAGTGTGATTCTCCAAGAACAACAGGGGTGAGGGTGGGAGAATACGGTGTGGCCGCCTGTGCCTCTCTGGTCCCCAGGACACCACGTCCACTTCCTGCAGGCAGCCCCTACGCTGTGCGGACAGACCACCGGCCTGAGCTCCAGGCTGTGCCCGGGGCCCTCGTGGCGGTGAAGCCCCTTCTCTGGGTTTCTCCAGGTCCCGCAACTGCACCGCTCTCCAAACGCGTCGCAAGGTGTCACGGTCACCCTCGTGCCTAGTGAACGGCTATGTTCTGAGCACTTCCCCACCTGGCCCCATCTGGGGGTCGCGACCAGAGTGAAGGGGAACTTCTCCAGGGCTACCTGAGTCCAAACCTGGCCAGACAACGCGGGCTAAGCCGAAGGGGACGGGCAGAGGTACCGGGCAGAGCCAGGCTCCCGGCGGCCTACTAGGCACATGCCTCGGGCTGTGAGCCTCACTCCGCACCTGCAGGTGGCTAACAGTTGCCATGTGGACGTGGGGTCGGCTCAGGTGCACCCCAGGGGAGGCGTGTAAAGAGGCTGGTGACAGATGTTAGGTGCCCACACACCACACGTACACAGCCACGCTTAGAAATGTAATCTGGGCATCAGTACACACCCCAGGGATCTAGAAATTCTACACAATGGAAAGCTCAAAAACAGCCCCCGGCTGTGAACGGCCAGGGCCGGCTGGGGAGGTGTGGCCAGGCCTGCCCCGGGCTGAGTGGGGACCCCCAGTCCCTGCTAGGGCGAATGCGCCTGCCTGCCGCCCGCAGCCTGGCCCACGCGGTGGGCCGGAATCGTTCCTGTACAAGCAGCCGAGGGCCCTGCTCCCACTCAGACGCGGCAGCCAGGATCAGGGCGCGGCCTCAGCCAGGCGGGCCAGGCCCTCACGCAGCTCGCTCAACTCGAACAGCCGCACGTCCAGCAGCTGCGCCGCCCGGCCCACCTCGGCCCGCGCCCGCTCCCGCTCCGCCCGCGCCTCCTCCAGGCTGCGCTCCGTCACCCGCAGCTGATGTTCCAGCTCCGCGTTGCGGGTCTCCAGGTCCTGCAGGCAGAGGGTGGACAGGGTTGGGGACCCCAACAAGTCTCGAGTCACCAGCCTCGCCTGAGGCATCCAGCATCTGACGGCCATCCCCAGGGCCCCTGCTCTGGCCCAAGCCCCCTCTGCTTCCCCGCCTGCTCCCCGCGCCTCTGCTCTGCTCACAACTCCCTGTTCCCCTGGCCATTTGGGCCATTTTGAACACCACAGAAGTGATCATGTCCTTCCTCTACTGAAAACCGTCCTGTGGCTCCCATCACACTGGGACTAAAACGCACACCAGCCTCACTGGCCTCTTTGTCCCTGGACACCCAAGTTTCTTCCCACCTCAGGGCCTTTGCATGTGCTGTGCCCTCTGTTCTACACACTTCCCCAACTTGTCTCCCCCAGCGACCCTTTTAGGGGATTCAGATCCTTGAACATCTCTACTTATTGGGCTCCCAGGAAGTGCTCACTGAACATTTCTTGGATAAAGGCTTCAGCCAAAGCCAAGCCAGCCAGACCCGGATTCAAATGCAGGAGGCTCTGTGATCTCGGGCCGAGGACATGTGAGGATGTGACAGGGTCAAGCATCGGAATTCAGCAGGAACTCAAAAGTTGCTTGTTGAACTCACGGACGGATGTGAAACTACTACTAATCGTCGGTTACGAAGCACCTGCGGGCCTGGTCTTCCCGACAATTTAGTCTTAGGTAGACACCGTCCTGACTCCGGGTGCAGGCGGGAGACTGAGTCTCGAGGAGGCACGGAGCTGCCCAGGACCCACCAGGAAGGCAGATCTCCTCGGCCCCCATCACCCCACCTCCTGGCGCCCACACACACCTGCACCTTTTGCTGCGTCTCCTCACGCTCAGTGGTGTCCGGGGCCTCTCGGGGCCCGCCCGTCTGTGTCCTCAGGGTCTGGATCTCCTAGAGGAGGAGGGTCCCAGGGTCTGTCCGGGGTCCTGGCTCCCCCGTGGGCGGTGAGGGGAGGCCAGGCCCAGGCCGACACTCGGTGCTCACCTGGTCCTTGGTCTGCACTAGTGCCTCCAGCTGCTCCAGCGACTGAGCCGGCACTTCCTTCTCGCTGACCTGGGGAGCCTCCGCAGCTGCCTGGGCCTCCAGTTCAGCCACCTGTGCGGACAGGAATCTCAGCCCCTGATGCTCCAGCCAGGACCCCTGGGGAATCTGCCTCCTGCTGGACTTTAGGGAAGCTGGCATTGTCTCAGACCCATTTTATAGAGCAAGAAACTGAGGCTTGGGGAAGTGAACTGCTGAGGCCACACAGCCAGTCCACAAACCCAAGGCAGATGGGACAGGTGGAGACGCGGGCTACACAGTTGCTGCGGTCTCTGGGAGAGGTTTCTGGGAGGGAGGGGTCTCTGCCCTCACCCGCTGCCGCAGCCGCTCAGCCTCCGCTCGCTGGGCCTCCAGCTGCTGCCTCCACTGGGCGGCAGCGGCGTTGGCCTCTCGCAGCGCGCCCGCCAGCTTGTTGTTGCTGTCCTGCAGCGCGAAGAACTCGGCCTCCCACTGTACCTCGCCCACGGAGCTGCAGGGACGCGAGGGTCAACAAGGGGCGACCGCGGGCCGGGGGCCCGGGGTCCCAATTGATGCTAGATTAGGGGGCGGGGTGACGCTGGGCTGGGGGCGGGGCCGGGGTAGGGTGGCTCTGGACTGGGGGCGGGGTCAGGGCGACACTGGGGCGGGCTAGGGGCGGGGCCAAGGTAGCGCCGAGCTAGGATTTGGGGTCCCGGGAGGCGTGGTCTTGTCCGGACCGGGTCCAAGTAGGCACGTGGAGTCCGCCCAGTGAGACACTGTCCCAGTGGGAGACGGGGGAGGTGCCAGCCGATGGGGACACGGTCAGAATGGGGTTGGGGGTGGGGAGGCGCCCCAGGATTTATCACCGGCCTGGACCGGCATAGACGGCGCGGGTTTAGCCGAGAGGAGCGGCCGAGAAAGGGGCGGAGTCATCCGCGGAGGCGTGGCCAACGCGGGGGCGCGGTGGGCTGAGGACTCGGCAGGACCCGGGCGGGCGGCCTCCTCCGCTTCCCCAGGTCCTGGGTCCAAAGCCAGATCCCGCCGTCGGCCGCACTCCCCGGACTTCTGAGAAGCCCCCTCCTCGCCACCCCCCACGCCCTGCCGGGCCCCTCACCCCTCGGACAGCATCTTCTTGAGCCGCTCTCGCTCCGTGGGGCCGGGGGCGTCCGCGCTCTGGCTGCGGAACAGCTTCTCCTCGCCGGGGCCATTGGCACTGACAAGGGGGGTTGGGGGCACCTGTGGGTGGGGACAAGGATGGACTCTTTTTTTTTTTGAGACAGAGTCTCACTGTGTTGCCCGGGCTAGAATGAGTGCTGTGGCATCAGCCTAGCTCACAGCAACCTCCAACTCCTGGGCTCGAGCGATCCTCCTGCCTCAGCCTCCCGAGTAGCTGGAACTACAGGCATACGCCACCATGCCCGGCTAATTTTTTCTTTATATTTTTAGCTGTCCAATTAATTTCTTTCTATCTTTAGTAGAGACGGGGTCCCGCTCTTGCTCAGGCTGGCCTCCAACTCCTGAGCCCAAACGATCGGCCCGCCTCGGCCTCCCAGAGTGCTAGGATTGCAGGCGTGAGCCACCGCGCCCCGCCAAGGATGGACTCTTGATAAGCGGTGGCTTCAGTCAAGAAGAGGTTAGAAGATCATGGTTGGGGTGCCACTGGAGTCGTGACTCAGGTTAGGGGGTCCGAACTGACCTATGGCCCCAGCAGGTCCTGCCCAGCACAGGATCCAAGCGCACCCCTCACCACCTCACCCACCCTCCATGGCTCCCCAGGGCCCGTGTGCTGGGAGTCCCGTGCCCCACCCCCACCTTGCCTGCCTGGGCTTTCACTAATCCCCCAGGAGCAAACCCGCCTAAACCCGCCTAAACCCGCCTAAACCCGTCTAAACTCCAGTGAGGAAACACTCAGAAAGCTCCCCCCTGCTTCCTCATAGCAAAGCTCTTCCCTGAGGCCAATCTTCAAGATCACATTTATGACGCCAGCAGGAAGGGCCCTGAGGGCAGAGGCCGGCCTGGTTTTTCATCTCTGTAACCCCTGTGCCCAGCCTTGGGCCTGGCACACAGCAGGTGCTCAATAAATGATGTCGAATTAATTAATGTGGGAAAACACCCAGGGGCGGTTCATGGCTCTGCTCTGTGCCCAGCCGTTTCAACTTCTAGTCTTCAATGCTGCCGTCTGAGCTGGTTTTGTCACGGGCACCTACTGGGTGGCCTCCCTGACCCTAGGCTAGGCCCAGCCCCCCATGACATGTTCCCATACCCCTCCTCTGTGGTCACCACCATGGGTCTAACTTTATGTCATCTGGGAGCATTTGGTCTTGGGTACCAGCATGGTGCCCAGATCCCCAATACGGGTGGGCATGGGAGGGACAAGGAATGCCCACCTGGTGGGAGGCGAGCCCCAGGGCTGGACTGGTGAGCTCCCCACCATCCTGAGATTTCTCCCGTGCCAGCCTCGCCGCTTCCTTCACTTCCTGGAACTTCTCCGCAAACTGGAGGGCCGAGGGAGGGAAGGAGAAGAAACAGACAATCAACAAACCCCCAGGTCACCCCCATCCAGGGACAGCCCTGTTGCTTTGGAAAGAATCTTCAGAACTGTAACCATCCCCTTATCACACAAACTGTAAGAAGGAAAGAAGGTTTGGAAAATGATGATGTTCCAGCAGAGGAGGTATTACAGCAGGCTGCCAGGTGGCATTAAATCACAGAGGTGGCACGAAGTACATTGTGCCACACTGAGAAACGGATTCCCTTTTCCTATCTGACTTATTTCAACAAAGAGAGACTCAGGTTGGTGCTAATCTGTCTTTAACACCTGTTAAAAATCCCTTTATAACAACGAGAGAGTAGGAAAAAAGAAAAAAGAAAGGCGATACAAGGACACATTTAAAGAGAGAGAGAGAGAGAGAGAGAGAGAGAGAGTAGGTCTTGGGCTCTGAGAAGCATCCGCAATCAGTGAGAGAATAATCTCCGCTTCTGTTTTCGTTGTACTAAATGATTACGTCTACCAGGTGGTAAGCTATGACAAGCAACACCAGGTTTCCAGTTAGGATAGGATATGATTTTTCCCCCCATTTTAAAATAAATTTCCTTAGTTTAAAAATAATTTTGTTAAAGAAAATCTTAACAAATAGCCACTTGATTTGTGCAAAAGGCATCAGTGTCATTCACGAAGGGAAAATGATCTTTTCAAAAAATGGTCCAATGGCTGGGTGCGGTGGCTCACGCCTGTAATCCTAGCACTCTGGGAGGCCGAGGTGGGAGGATCGCTTGAGTTCAGAAATTCGAGACCAGCCTGAGCAAGAGGGAGACCCCATCTCTACTAAAAATGAAAAAATTAGCCGGGTGTGGTGGTGTGCCTGCAGTCCCAGCTACTCGGGAGGCTGAGGCAGGAGGATCGCTTGAGCCCAGGAGTTGGAGGTTGCTGTAATCAAGGCTGACACCACAGCACTCTGGCCCTGGCAACAGAGCAAGACTCTGTCTCAAAAAACAAAAAACAAAAACAAACAAAAAAAAATGGTCCAAGAGCAACTCAACATTTATATGGGAAAAAAATGAACCTGGACCCCTTCCTTGCACCACCCACAGAAATCAATTCAAGACCTAAATGAGGAAGATAAATTATAAAGCTTCTAGAACAAAACAAAGGAGAAAATCTTGATGACCTCAGCAAGGCACAGAAAGCACTAATCATCAAAGAAACAATGGATAAAGATAATAGGTGGCTCACGCCTGTAATCCTAGCTCTCTGGGAGGCCGAGGCGGGTGGATCGCTCAAGGTCAGGAGTTCGAGACCAGCCTGAGCAAGAGCGAGACCCCGTCTCTACTAAAAATAGAAAGAAATTAATCGGACAACTAAAAATAGATAGAAAAAATTAGCCGGGCATGGTGGCGCATGCCTGTAGTCCCGCTACTCGGGAGGCTGAGGCAGGAGGATCCTTTGAGCCCAGGAGTCTGAGGTTGCTGTGAGCTAGGCTGACGCCACGGCACTCACTCTAGCCAGGGCAACAAAGTGAGACTCTTGTCTCAAAAAAAAAAAAAAAAAAAGATAATATGGAAGTATAGAGACAGCAGAGGGTGGTGGATTATGCAGTATTGCTGGGGCGTGTGGGGAGGTGCCCAGCCAGCCCAGGCACTCATTTGGGAGTAAGGTGAGTAGGTGAAGAGTAAGGTGTATTCAAAATTGGAGCAAGTGGCCAAGAGAACTGGGACTCAAACCACGGAACCTGGAATAGGCTTCCAGTTCATCTAATGTCTTTTTTAAATTAATTAATTATTTTTTAAGAGATGGGGTCTTGCTATGCTGTCCAGTCTTGCCTTGTAACTCCTGGGCTCAAGTGATCCTCCTATCTTGGCGTCCCAAAGTACTGGGATTACAGGTGTGAGCCACCACACCCAGCATTCTGGCTCATCACACTCAGCCTGCCTATTCTGCAGGGAGACAGAGGCCTGGGACCTGCCCGAGGTCCCCCAGTGCACAGAGGAGAAGACCTAGGCCCAGCCCTGTTCCTCCCTCCACTCCTCTCCCAGCCTACCTGTGTCAGATGCTGCTCAGAGGCAAAGCCAAGGCCGTAGACAGTGTTGGCACGACTGTCCGCCCACTGCCCGAACTTCTGGGAGGTTTTGGTAAAGGTCATGTTGGGGGTGACGGTGCTGTTAATGATGGCCTGGGCAGGGGTGCAAAACAAAGTTCAAGGTTGATGGGACTGATAATAACAAACATGAAACCCCCTGTATCACCTGCGTCAGGGTCTCGGAGCCCTGAGCCATTTCAGGAGAGAGAAACTGAGGCCCAGGAAGGCTCAGGGTTTCCCACCCCCTGTGGCAAACAGCAAGGTCTGTCGCCAGGACCCCTGGTGCCTATGCCCCGCCCAGACCCTGCCTGGACCTTGGCACCCCCGATGCTGATGATGCGGTAGACATTGCGGGTGGCATCGTAGAAATAGGAGACAGTGAGCGCGTGCTTGCCGGCTGGGATCCAGTTCCGCTTGGTGGCCGGGTCAATCTGGAACACGTGCGCCCGTGTGCTGAAGATGGGCTGCTCCCTGCGTGGGGAGAGGGTGCTCAGTGGGGGCCAGGCACCCCCGCCCAGAAGCTGAGAGCCAGGCTGGGGGAGCTGGGAGCTCACCTGGCTGTGGACATTGGTCAGGCTGGGCTGGGAAGGCTCTAAGCGGCAGCCAGAGGGGTGGCAGGAGCCGCTGGCTTGGCCCCTGGGGAGAAAGGGGGCCTGTGAGTGTCCCTCAGGCCTGGCTGAGGAAGGCCGAGCATGTCCAACCTCAGGACCCACCGCCTGGTGCACCGTTCACAGAACTTCCAGCCAAAAGGCAAGAGAATTAGTACAGGTCACTACACTAGCCAGGGGACCCCATCTTTCTTCATCTGGGGGAAGCCCTGAAACACCCTGGGCAGGAGGACATGGCTCTCTGAGAGCAGCCAAGTGGCCCCCGACATCCCAGTGAAAATTCTCATTGTCCCGGTTACTAGACGCCGAGTGAAGCCGCTACATCCTGGGACTGGGCCGGGACAGCCAAGGCCCACGCTGCCCAGTCCGTTCGGCCACGTTCACCCATTACGTCCCAGGGTAGGGCCGTCCATCAAAAAGCGGAGCGCGGACAGGTTCTTACTGGGAGACCAGTTAGCCACCAGACCGGAGAGGAACCCCTCAGCCCTCACCCCACGGCAGAGGCACACCTTGGAGTCAGAGTCCAAATCCCCAGGGAGCCCCCAGCCTAGTTGAAAAGACAAGATATAGCCAAACAGCAGACTCCCCCAGTCCACCGTGCGGGCCAGGACAGGAGCCAGGACGGGAGACTGGGCTCCCCAACCTCCCATCTGGTTCCGCTAGCCGCCAACCCAGGAAGCCAGGAACGATGCTGGGAGGGGACTTCCTGATCCTCCCCCCGTACCCCAAAACCTGCATCCAGGGGATGTGCAGGGGACCCAGGAGGGGATTGGGGGAGGGGAGGCCCCAGCCCAGCGGCCTCCGTGGTCAGAGGCGGGTGCCCCCCCATCCTGTCCTGGGCAGCTGCTGTCCAGGTCACAGGGTCTGAAACCGGAGCCCCCGAGTGGAGGAGGGGTGGCAGGTCTGGCCTGGGCTGGGGGCGGGTCTGGGCCGCCGAGGTTGCGGAGGTTGCAGCGGCGGTGCACGGGGATCCCCGGAACCCAGGCCCTTCCGGTCCGGCCGCTCCTGCCGCGACTTGCCGCGTTTGGGGAAAGTTACTCACCAACTAGTCATGCGCCTCGGACGCCGCCGGACGCGGGGCTCCCGGAGGGGGGTCCGACACCGCCCGGTGACAGGAATCCCCAGTCAGGCCGGTGGGTGAGGCCCCGTCCCACGCGCCCCACTTCAGGGGGGCTTGATACTCATTCAGGACCCAGTCCTCACCCGCATCAGGACACCAGTGCGCACCCCAACTTCGGGACGCGCGCCCCGACCGTGGAACTTCCGAGATCCCCGCGATGCCCCCCGACTCTGGGTCCAGAACTTCGGGGACACCTCCTCTACAACCCCAGGTCCGTAACTTCGTGGACCCCCTCCCGCGCTGCCACCTCTAGCCCCAGATCCAGAACTTGGAGACTCCCCCTTGTACCCAACTCCTAGACTTCGAGGCCCCCCCTGCCACCCCTCCAGTCCCCTGTCCGGAATTCCGGGACCCCTCCCGCACTATTCCGCCACCCCAGGTCCGAAACTTCGGGGACCCCTTCGCAGCCTCCTCCAACGCCGGGTCCAGAACTTTGGGAACCTCCCGCGCAGTCCCCGCCCGGACCCCGACTCCAGAACTTCGGGACCCCAGCGCTTTCCCCAGCCCTGGAACTCGGGGGCCTCGCACGGCCCCCAGGCCCCGCGGGCGGAACTTCGGGGGCCCCCGCGCCCTCCCGTGTCCCCGGGACTCCAAGGCCCCCGCGCTCCCGGCGCAGGCTCGGCCGGCCGGGCTCACCCTGCCGGGTCGGCGCCCCGCGAGTGTCCGGGCGCCGGTCGGGTGCGGCCCGCGGCGCTGACTCCGCGCAGCCGGGCGCCCCGCTCGCTCCCTGGCTCCCCGGCCCGCGCCCTCCGCGCCGCCCTCCGCGCCGCCCGCGCCTTTGTCTGCGCCGCCGCCGCCCGCGCCGCCTCCGGTCCCATCGCGGCCGGTCCCGACGCGGCCGCCGCCCGCCCCGCCTCCCGGGCCGCCGAGGCCGCCCCGCTGCGCCCCCTGCCGGCCCCTGCAGCTGGGGGCGCGGAGGGGGAGGGGACGCGGGCTGGGGGCTGGGGCGGGGGGCCAGGGTTGGGAGCAGGGGGCGGGAACAAAGAGACAGACATCCGGGATGAGAAAGGGACCAGGGACAGGCGGAGACAGACAAGGAGACAGGAAGCAATGGACAAACAGCTGGACGCATAGAGATGCGACCGCACCCTCCTTTCACCTTCTCAGGGGCAGCCCTGACCTTTCAGGTCGCTGCTGCCTCTACCTGGGGTCATGACCTCCGGCCTGTGACGGGGGCAAGGTTCCTCCTGGCCTGCCTGAGGGGAGTGGAGGTGCAGGGTTGGGGCGCGGGGCGCTGGTGAGTGAGGCCTAGGGTCTGCATACAGTAGGTGCTCAGCGAGTGTTGCCAGGAGTCGAAGGAGACCCTAGTGGGGGAGGGGACCGGAAGCCAGGCAAAGAGAGAGAAGCCTTCCCACCTGTTCTTCTGCCCTGCCCTGATCCCGTGGCGGGGACATCTGTCCACCTCTGTCCCCCACCCAAGAAAATGATACAAATGCCAGCTATGGTTGGATTGAGGTTATTATTGCTGCTGTTTAGCGGGTCCAGAATCCAAGGGCTGAGGGGATGTCAGTGTCCAGTGTGTCCCCTCAAGCTCTGCTGGCCTGGGTTTGTCACCTCTGGTCACAGGGAGGCCCCCTTACTACACTTGGTGCTTCAGGACCTGAGCTGGGATCCTCCTCCCCAGGCCGAAGCCCAACCGAGGGTCCCACATGTCAACCCCGTTGCGGCCCTTTCTCTGGCTTCTTCCCCAAAGTCACACAGTGCCATCGGGTTTGCGGGCAGAGGCCATGTGTGTCCTCAGAACCAAGGCCTGCATTCCCAGGAGCTCTGAGCTTTGCGGTTGAGTTTTCCAGCAACTTGAGAGGTTTGTCCTTTTCGTGTCTGAGACCTCCACTCATGTCTCCTCTCTCTGGTTTTTTTGTTTGTTTGTTTGTTTGTCTTCAAGACAGGTTTTCACTTTGTCACTTGGGCTAGAGTGCAGTGGTGTCATCATAGCTCACTGTAACCTCCAACTCCTGGGCTCAAGCGACCTCCTGCCTCAGCCTCCCAAGTAGCTGGGACTACAGGCGTGAACCACCACACCCGGCTAATTTTTCTATTTTTTGTAGAGACAGGGGTCTCGCTCTTGCTCAGGCTGGTCTCGAACTGCTGACCTCAAGCGATCCTCCTGCCTCGGCCTCCCAAAGTGCTAGGATTACAGGCGTGAGCCACCACGCCGGGCCTCCTTTTATTTCTGTTTCCTCCTAACAAAAATCACACGTCTGCGCAGATAGGTTCCTTCAAATTACCTGTAGGTGGATTCTAAATCATGTCTCTGGAGACTTACTCCCAGGTCAAGATCTGAAGTCTCCTCCTGCAGGTCTCTGCCCAAGCTGTTCCCTCCACCTGGAATGGCCTCTCTGCTGGCATCTGTCCTGCCGTGTCCTTCCAGGCTCAGCCCCTCCGCCCCCTCCCGTCCTCCGGGAAGCCTCTCTGAGTATACTGGGCTTGTGAGGGAACTTGCCCTCCCCTGCCCCACGTCCCAGTCCCTTCCTGTGACTCCTCTGGGGCTGGCCCATCCATCCCGGAGCCCCGGTCTGACCCAGCACGAGAGTGACTGTTTGTCCCTCAGTGGGGGAAACTGAGGCATAGACTTGGTTTCCCCGGCTGCTTCTAACTTCACGAGGCGTGTGCACAAGGGAAGAATTTGGCTTCGCTGTCAGGCCTGAAGCCACGAAATACTTGAACACTGTGTGGAACAAAGAAAAGACCGTCTGTTCTGTGCAGAGAGTGACTTTTCCTTATTACCAACAAAATAATTAAAAAAAAAAAAAAGTATCTGGGAAAGCTGCCAGCAGGGCTGAGGCTTCTGGAAGCCGCTCAGAGTTTGCTAAGTGCCCGGCTGGCTGCAGCGCTGGGGCCATGTGGCTATTCTATGGGGGTGGCAGGTGAGGGGCCCAGGTTTGCTCCCAGTGTGGGCGAAAGCAGCAGTGTGAGAGAGGAGCAGGCCTCTGGGAGGGGCCGGGACAGTGCTGGCCTTGAGCAGCCCTGACCTGTAGCTGTCTCAGCCAAATCCAGGCTGAGGCATTGGCTTCCTCAGTGTGGACCTCAGTTTTCTCACCCGGAGAATGGGCTGATGCTTGCAGAGCTGGAGGGACGGGGGG